TCAACATCACTTTCACATGATTTCCACAGCTTTGGTATTTTTCTGCAGCACCAGCCTTGCATTCCTCTCCTCTCCTCCCATGGTATCAATTTCCTCTGCAATTCCCAGTAGACAAATTTGCGTGGCACATTTTTCTCCCTCTGTCCTGTGTCCTGCATTTTGCAGGTTAAAAGAGACCTTAATTTTTGATCAACTTCCCTTTAAAGACTGTGTGTGTTTCCTAATGGAAGAAAATATTGTTAGATGAGGCAATATTCCACAGTCTAATATGAATATGTTTCTTGCAATCTTGGATGGAAGCTGTATGTTACTGTCTACCTCAGTATTCACTGGGGTTTGGTTCCTGCCCCACCCTGGAAGATACCAAAATCCATGGATGCTTTACTCCCATTATATACAACGGCATAGTAAAATGGCAAATAAAACGAGTGCTAGAGAAATCTGTGAAATGGTGGGAGGCTGCAGCAGAGTATGCATGCACATCAAGGCAATACTCAGTTTGTGGCAAAATAAAGATTTGCTTTTTGGAATTTCACCTCTGAGAGCCCGCATGGCATGGTTTGACTACAGCTCTGGAGACAAGGGTTTGAATCCCTGCTTGGCCATGGAAACCACTGGGTAGCCCTGGAAAAGTCACATTCTCTCAGATGAAGACAAAGGCAAGAGCAAGCTCCCTCTAAACAAACCATGTCATAAAAAAAACCTGGAATACTTTTACTTAGGGTCGTCATAAGTCAAAAACAACTTGATATAATACAACAGCAGCAGCCACCATACTTTAAAAAACCTGTCATTTCTCCTTATTGTTTTTGTGTTTCTGTTAGTGGTGTAAAGTTCATAGTAATTTTCAAAGTAGTGAAGTCTGCCGTATTTTTAGCACACATTATGGATTTGTTGTTAATTGCTGGCAAGTCAGCTCTGACTTGTGACAATCCAATGCTAGCTCTTAATTCTTGCAGAAAGTAGATCAGACCAATATTTTTGGAGTCTTACTAAGTTAACTTTATTATAGTATGATAATCCTATTTGGATAGATTAGCTTTCCGTATGAACCAGCTTGTACATGCTGCTACCAGCCTGGTCTTCCCTACCATCTTTTATCAAAACAGATTTATTTCCAGAGTTGGTCATGAGTTCTTCTAACTGAAAGATAGTTATATTCTTGTAATGATAATATTTTTGCATAATGAAACATTCACCTGTAAAGAGAAAGTGAGATGTCATTATCACTTCAAAGTTGGGAAACTATTTCAGCTGTTCTACCCCTAGCAAGTAAATTTCCCAAACATCAACATTTGCCTTTATGATTTCAGAATTCAGTATTTATGTATGATTATTCAGGAGTTGCTCTGTGGTGTCCGATTCTTGTCCTATGTGTTTTATTTGTTAAAATTCTATAGCTAGCAAAGTTTCATAAAATATGAGAAAAGAGGAAATTGGATTGTTGAAGGCTTTCATGGCCGGAATCACTGGGTTGTTGTAAGTTTTTCAGGCTGTATAGCCATGTTCCAGAAGCATTCTCTCCTGACTTTTCACCTACATCTACGGCAGGCACCCTCAGAGGTTGTGAGTTCTGTTGGAAACTGGGAACATCTAATCACCTCTCAACAAAGGATTCCCCCAGGCAGTAAGAAGCCAGACCTTGAAACTGCTAGGCCACTAAATGCTAATCAAGGTGGCTAGTTGAAACATTCACACCTACTTCCAACAGACAAGAGTTCTTTCTCCCTCCCTGGACATTCCACAAATATATAAACTTCATTTTCCTAGTTTCCAACAGATCTCACAACCTCTGAGGATGCCTGCCATAGATGCAGGCGAAACGTCAGGAGAGAATGCTTCTGGAACATGGCCACACAACCCAAAGAGAAAATTAATGAGATTAATTCCTTCATAGCTAATGCTCTACTAAATTTGGAGGAAAGCATGTATAAAGGAAATGATGACTTCATGAATGACAAAGTTGATCCTCAGAGATACTATTCTTTGTATTCTATATACAGCCACCATAAAATCTTTGTGGCTGCCATGGTCCATCTACTGAGCAGCAATAGATCTCTAGAGACTCGGGCTACAGCCATTGTACTAAAAGCAAGGTAACTGTCTTATTTGTAAAGCATTCTGATACCTTTATTACTGTGTTGTCTCTCAAGAATCGTTTAAAAACCATTTGAGCATCTTCCTGATCAGAGACACATTTGTTCAAAATAAGCTCTTAGATTATTAAAAAAATGTAAACATCACAAAAGCACTTTGAAAAACAAGGCATACAGATTGACAAGTGTGTTTTCTTGATGCTTTCTATTGCAAACATAGTCTTAATTTTGATTCTACACTGTTTCTAAGCATTTTCGATTGTTACTTATTCATTCTATTGTGTAAGAACGTATGTTATGCCAGGAAACCTTTTCCAAATTTAGCTTTCTCTTAAGTGCAGCCTTGTCATCTGTGTTTAGCCTAGCTGTATGAGCTGCTCTCAGGTTTTATGCACTTTGCTTTTTGCCAGGTTCCATAGCTGAAATAATCCAGATGAAAGCTGGATCTGTAGCAGAATGAGTTGGCGTATAGCATAATAAGCTGATTGATATACAATGCACTGTATCATTTCAGATTGTTATTGTGTGTTTTCAAGTCACTTCTGACTCAAGGTGACCCTAAGTCAAACACATCACAGGGTTTTCTTGGTAAAATTTGTTCAGAGAGGGTTTTTCATTGCCTTCCTCTGAGGCTGAGAGTGAGGACTTACCCAAAGTTTCCCAGTGAGATCCCATGACCAAGTGGGGATTTGATCCCTGGTGCTTCTTTGTAGTTTCTGTGAAACATACAAGTGGGTCAACCTGCACAGAGCACCACTTGGATCTTCTAGAGTTCTGAAACATTTTGATGGTAATCTTACTCACTTTCCATGCCCTTTATATAGGTTGTGTAGTCCAATGCTCAAACCACCATACCACTTTAGCTCTTTTTTCAATATGTTGGTGAAGCATAATATTACTTCTGCACAAAATAAAAACTTTTCTTGTACAGTATATAGAAAAGATACCTTCCATGAAAAAGGGTTTAGTGCTTCTCTTATTGATGGCTACTTCACAACATGCTGGGAAACTTTTTTCTTTGCATTTTTTCAGATGTGGGAACCATTAAAAAACTATATGTGCAGTTTGAAGTATGGTCCGCATACACACATATTTACCACCTAGTTCTTACAAACTGAGCAGTTGAGCTTAGAACTCACATGGTTGTCATCAGACAGAGACTCACATGATCCATTTAAAAAAAACCCACCCCTCTTGAGGGATTTTTATGTGAGCTTTTTAACCTTGAGTTATCTTTAAATGCTTGTGGTTCTTTTCAAATTAAGAACTTTTCCTTTTTGCTCCCTGGGGCTCCATGAGCCTCCACCTGCAGTCTGAATCATTAGTTGAGTCGCAGGTTTATTACTTCATCTCACTGCAGTTTTAGATTCACTGGGGTGTTTGCGAATTAAACCAAACTGAATGAAGGAAATATTTGAAGAGATACCCTCATTACTGCTTGAAACCTGATAACCACCTGACCTTTCTCTAGTTCATATATCCATTCCCTCCCCTCACTGCTTCCCCCACCCCCCAAATATACTGCCAACGTCATCAGAAAGGCAAGTCTTGCTATCCCATCTGGATAGCTGAGGATTTGGTGAGCCTGCAGATTGCAAGCATATGTAGGCATTCCCTGGGCTACACACAAAATAGGTTCTGTACATTTGTTCATAAGTTAAATTTCTATGTAGAATGGAACAGGTACATTTTAAAGTGTAACGCCAGCCAAATTTTTAGTTTCGGATAGCATAGGGAAGAGTTAATACCCCTGTAACATTTATTTTGCTCTGTGGCCCCCATTCAGAAGATTTTGCCTCACTTTCTGTCCCTGTGACAACTGGATTTTGAAAGAATTGACTTGAGGAAACAAGGATTGGTGATAAAGCTTCAGTGGAGATACTTTCCCCCATGATAACCATTCCAGGAGTGAATTTCTCTTCCTTAGGATAAATTTCTTTTTACTTCCTGTTGTCTCATCTGTTTGTAACTAGGAGTCGTATGTAATCTGCATATTTGTAACTTGGGGACTGCCTGTACAATCTGTCTGCTTCTGAATGAGCAAAATCTGTATTTTCTTTGATTTGCTGTCACATATGTTGAGTGCATTTATATGTGTCTGGATGATGCAGGAATTAAAATGCATACTTTGTGGTTTTAAAATGTATACATTGTTGTTTTGAAAATATGGAGAAAACAAAGTTGGTGTCAGTAGGGTAGTTTGAGCTACTCATTCAAACCTGAAATCAGACACAGAATCATAGCAGTTGAACAGTATATGCTTGACTCTCTCCACACCATTGTTGTTTTTTAGTACAAATCTGACTGTACAAACTCAGATTACATTGCATGAGAATTAGCATTATACTTTATCTGCTTAGGAACATATTTTCTTATCTGTCTAGACTCAGGTTGGTTGTACCATTTTTGTGTCTGTTGCTTATGTCTGAGGGGAAAAAAAGATAAAGCTCCCAACATGGAGCTTTATAAATCTACATCCAAGACTTCATTGGCAGGGTTGAGTATCACCTATCCAAAATGCGAGACATGTTTTGGGTTTCAGATTTTTCTGGTTTTGAAATGCCTGTATTTGTATGTACGTATACAATGAAATATCTTGGCAATCGGACCCAATTCTAAATATGAAATTAATTTATATTAATTTCATATTTAGAAAGCCAAGCCATTACTATCTCAGCTACTGGTGTGGAAAATTTGGGGATAGTTCAGAATTCCAGATAAGGGCTGCTCAACCAGTATTCTCTTAAAAATGATATTGTACATGTAGCCTATTATATTTAATATTACCAGTGACTCTACTGAAAATATGTGCCTGCCCCATCAGAAAAATTGTATTTACCAAAATATGTGATACAGATTATGCATTATCATTTATCTCTTTTCTTTTTTTCTTTTTTTTGTTAGGTCCTTTCTCACAATTTGTGCACACTGCTGAATGTTCCACATGATCCAGTGGCTTTAGAAGAGCATTTTAGAGATGACGACGAAGGGCCTGTTTCCAATCAGGGATATATGCCTTATTTAAACAGATTCATCTTGGAAAAGGTATGTAGCTGTGTCATTAGATCCATATACATGCTGTATTTAGGTTTTTATTTTATGCTTTAAAAGCCAACTATTTTGTTGATATTAATAAGCAAAACGTAGCAGAACAAAAACCAAGGTGATTAAAATATGATTGCAACCTAGAAAAGGAAACAAAAATGAACACAAACTGTAAAGAGAGCCAGGGTTCAGAAAATGCAGAAATGTATGGCGAAATAAAATTAAAAACTCTGGTGCCATGGATATTGAGAGGCTTTCCAGAATAATTTATTAGAAGATGGTAAAGGAGAGACTCAGGCAGTATCAATGCAGACCCACAGACCATATAATGCAGCTTGAAGCTGGCTTGAGGTTAGGGTGTCCACAAAACCTATACCCCCAGTGTGTGCTGCAGAGTGCATTAAACCAGGAATAGCATATTTAAAAAACTCACCAGAAAGGCCAGAATAACTGAAAATAATCTTCTGGAGCTGATCAGAGGACATCCCATGTAATTCTCTACTCTGAGACCAAAAAATGAAGAGTGTTTGCCAGGACACTCGTAGCATGGCACACTTTACAAAGCCCTGAAACACAGCTGTCTGGAAGGTAAACAAGCACCCCTGGGAGAGGAACTACATAATTCCCATGGGGACACCCAATTTTCACCTCTTTTTCTCATTTTCTGTGCCTTGCCAGGATCTAGCAGTGATTCCAAACTGACATGGATATGCACATCAGCCTCTTTCAGTGAGCTGACTAGGAAAAAAAATGGTTCTGTTGCGATCTGCAGATACTGTGACCACTGTCTCAACCTCAAACTGGTTCCTAGGATGTTTGTATTGGCATTGCACAGTGGAACTGGGTCACTTTTATCCAGATCCACATAATGCCTGTGTAGAAGCTGCCACACTCATTTCCTTGTGAAGAGGCATCAGATAGCTTAAGAAAGTTCAAGCATTATTCCTTTTCTGGGAAACTAAACTGGAAACCACATTACCACCCTGAACAAATTTGAACTCATCTGATTTCAAAAGCTAGACAGACTCATCACTGGCTAGTCCATTAATAGGAGTCCACCAAGTATCACCAATAATCTTGGTAGGGCCTGAAACCCTGAAAAGTAATTATTGCAGTATTGGATTGGACTGATCAGTTGGCAGTATTGGATTAGATTGGCCAATGATCTTTCTCAGTAAAGCAGGGCAAATGGAAAAGATAAGATTTAACTCAATGAAATAACAAAAGGTAAACAAAGGGACTTAGGATATGAATGTGATATGTGTGCATCTATGTGTTTGTTTATACAGCACATACTCACATATATGGAAACTATATTTTAAGAAACAAAACAAAGAACACCAAAGTGGATAGAATTGTTATATATGTATATATGCAAACTGCTCAAGTGAGAGAAATCATATATAATTACTGTTTTTGGCTGCAGGACATTCCCAGATGTAAAAAAGGCTGACCTTTAAACATTGACAGAACTTGAGGAACCTGAAACACTTTATTTTGATCAGTGGATACTGCTATAGATCGGAATAGCTGTGTTGGACAATTTCCATGTGGAAGTTGCAGTGTGTATTCTGACGTGTTGTAAATTGAAATCATTCTGTAACCTATTGGATAAAAACAATATTTTAACCAGCTATTTACTTGTATGCCATAGAGTGGCCCTGTAACCTATTATAAATGGGATTATAACCATGGCCACCACACAGGTGATGCTACAAATAGATGTGGCATGCAGACATGTGGCTGTTTGTTTTCTTCCATGGGTTTTTTGTGTGTCAGGAGCAACTTGAGAAACTGCAAGTCGCTTCTGCTGTGAGTGAATTGGCCATCTGCAAGGACATTGCCCAGGGGACGCTTGATGTTTTACTATCCTTGTGGGAGGCTTCTCTCATGTCCCCGCATGGGGAGCTAGAGCTGACAGATGGAGCTCAACCTGCTCTCCCTGGAGTTGAACTGCTGATCTATCGGTCAGCAATCCTGCCAGCACAAAGGTTTAACCATTGCACCACCGGGGGCTTCCATGGGTGAAGATATGTGAGATAATTTTGTGGGAAAGGTTCCAAAAATACAGTCTTATGCCTGTGATCTCTCATAATGAGCACCTTGTGAAATAATGACATAAAAAAAATGAGAGAATAGAACAGTGCTGCACAAATTTCCCACTGTTCTTTATAAATTGTGTACAAGAAAGGTTAAACATTTTTGTTAAAAAAATTGCAAAGACAATTTTATGAGTGGGGAAATCCCAAGAAAAACCAGCTTCCTTGTTTTGTACTTACAATTAAGTACAGATAGAATTTCAGTAGACGTAGGATATATTTCTTTTGATTGCATTTATTCTCTTTTTGAATGGTGAATGCTTTTTTCTGCAACTCAGTAAGAGAGTGCTGAATATATCCAACTCATCTTTAGTAGCATTGAATTCTTATTTTAGGTACCAGGAGAGAGGAAGTGGTAGTATTATTTCGTCTTCTTCCCCTTCTCACACGGTCAGTGAATACTGCCAACCTTCTCTCAGGAGTGTCTCATGGGAACTGAATGAATGTTTCCATTTGCATAAGTGTTGTTGAACCTGCCATTGTGCAGTATCAAGACAGGTGGTTTTACAAAAAAATAAAATCTGGAGACTATTGTGGCTGACAGAGGCTTTTGGACACTATAGTATATAGGTTAAATTATAGATTATGTTATATAATGTGTACTTTAATGCAGTACTCTTCTCATATTTTGAGTGCTAACTAAATGGGGTTATTTTTATTCAAGCCAGACCACATGAGAAGGGAAGGTAAATTCCTTCCTTCCCCAACAGTGTAAAATTCCCATGTTACAAGTAGCCTCAAGGCAGTGGTTCTCAACCTGTGAGTCCCCAGATGTACCGCAAGCACCTGGGTTTGAGTGCGTCCACCTGAGGGTGGGGAACCGTGACAGTGTGGGGCTTCTGCTGGTGTACCGTCCACCCCGCGACCCAGTAGTTTCCCTGTCTGAGCTAGCGGAGGTAGTCTCTAATTCGGCCCTGATCTCCCAGCACTTGGTGGTGTTGGGAGATTTTAACATTCATGCTGAGACCTCCTTGTCTGGCGCAGCTCAGGACTTTATGGCCACCATGACGACCATGGGACTGTCACAAATTATATCAGGACCCACCCATCAGGCTGGACACACTCTTGACCTAGTCTTTGTAGCGGACAGTGTAATGATCAGAGTGGAAGAACAAAACATCCTTCCAGTGTCATGGTCTGATCATTATCTGGTCAGCTTTAGGCTTGCTGCGACCCCCAACCTTCGCAGGGGTGGAGGACAAATTAAGATGGTCCGCCCCAGGAGACTGATGGATCCGGATGGATTCCTGAGGAATCTTGGGGTTCTTCCTGCCATGGAACCTGGCGATCCTGTCGACGCCTTGGTCGACCTTTACAACAGGGAGATGTCCAGGGCGATAGACACGATCGCTCCCGAACGCCCCGTCTCATTGCGTCATGATAGGCCGTCCCCTTGGTTTACCGAGGAGTTGGCTGCGATGAAGCATATGAGAAGGGGGCTAGAGCGCAAGTGGAGGAAATCTCGGGACGCATCTGATCAAGCACGGGCTAAGGCCTCTCTTAAGGCATATTCCGTGGCTATACGGGCGGCCAGGAAATCTTTCACGACCGCCCGGATAGCGTCTGCAGCAAATAGGTCATCAGAGCTGTTTCGGGTTGTTGGGGAGCTCCTTCACCCACCGGTGGTGGAGGGGACCCCTGATGACCCAACAACTCGGTGTTGCGATTTCGCACACCACTTTGCAGGCAAGGTTGCCCAGATACGTCTTGAGCTCGACTCCAATCTTATCGCAGTGCCAGGAGAGGTGACCGAGGCATCTGCTTGTCCAATTTTGTGGGATTCTTTTCGGCTTGTTCTTCCTGAGACCGTGGAGGAGGTTCTTGGGGCTGTGAGGGCGACCACTTCGGCTCTAGACCCTTGCCCATCCTGGCTTATTAAATCTGCCAAGGAGGGGTTGGTTGATTGGTTTGTGTTGATCATTAACGCATCGTTGGAGCAAGGGATTTTTCCATCTAGCTTGAAACAGGCTGTGGTTCGTCCACTCCTAAAGAAGTCATCCCTTGACTCTACGGTGCTGAACAATTACAGACCGATTTCCAACCTCCCTTTTTTGGGTAAGGTGCTGGAGCGGGTGGTTGCCCTCCAGCTCCAGAGCTTCCTGGATGACATCAATTACCTGGATCGGGCACAGTCCGGTTTCAGGCCTGATCATGGCACCGAGACAGCCTTGGTCGCCTTGGTGGATGACCTCCGTAGAGGACTAGACCGGGGGAGTGTAACCTTGCTCGTCCTCTTGGACATCTCAGCGGCTTTCGATACCATCGATCATGGTATCCTTCTGGGTCGGCTCTCTGGGATGGGCCGGGGGCACGGTTTTGTCGTGGCTCCGATCCTTCCTGGAGGGACGAACCCAGATGGTGAAGCTGGGAGATGCCTGCTTGGATCCCTGGCCCTTGACCTGTGGGGTCCTGCAAGGCTCCATTTTATCTCCCATGCTTTTTAACATCTACATGAAACCGCTGGGAGAGGTCATCCGGAGTTTTGGAGTTGGGTGCCACCTCTACGCAGATGACACACAACTCTACTACTCTTTTCCACCTAATTCCAAGGAGGCCTCTCAAGTGCTGGACGAGTGCCTGGCCGCTGTGTCTATCTGGATGAGGACGAACAAGCTGAAGATCAATCCCGACAAGACAGAGGTCCTCCTGGTCGATCGCAAACCAGATCGGGGTATAGGGTGGCAACCTGTGTTGGACGGGGTTACACTCCCCCTGAAGCCACAGGTCCGCAGCTTGGGAGTCCTCCTGGATTCATCGCTCACGCTTGAGGCTCAGGCGTCGGCGGTGTCCGGGGGGGCTTTTGCACAACTGAGACTTGTGCGCCAGCTGCGCCCGTACCTCGCGAAGGCTGATCTGGCCGGGGTGGTCCATGCCTTAGTCACCTCTAGATTGGATTACTGCAATGCGCTCTACGTGGGGCTGCCCTTGAAAACGGCTCGGAAATTCCAACTGGTCCAACGGGCAGCAGCCAGGATGCTAACTGGGGCCCCTTACAGAGAGAGGTCAACCCTCCTGTTTAGGGAGCTCCACTGGCTGCCGTTTATTTTCCGAGCCCAATTTAAGGTGCAGGTGCTTACCTACAAAGCCCTGAACGGTTTGGGACCATCCTACCTACGAGACCGCATCACAGTCTACGAACCCACACGCTCGCTCCGGTCATCAGGAGAGGCCCTGCTCGTGATCCCACCCGCGTCGCAGGCGCGTTTGGTGGGGACGCGGGACAGGGCCTTCTCTGTGGTGGCCCCCCGCCTCTGGAATGCCCTCCCGAAAGATCTCAGACAGGCCCCTACTTTGGCGGTTTTCAGAAAGAACCTGAAAACCTGGCTATTCCAACGTGCCTTCTCAGATTAGGAATCCTCACTACCATAGCCCAGAAGCACTTTAGTAGAGCCAAGATCATTCTCAACGCACACCGCACTTATACTTTAATCTTATATCCCTCCGACACTTTTTTCAGCACTTTTAACCCTGTACCCCACCTCAGCCGGCTCAGTTTTTAATAACGTCCTGTTGTATTGTTATTGCTATTGTTTTTCTGCTTTAACTGTTTTATTTTGCTATGTATTGTATTGTTGTATTGTGTTGTGCTGGGCTTCGGCCTGTTGTAAGCCGCATCGAATCCCTTGGGAGATGCTAGCGGGGTACAAATAAAGTTTAATAATAATAATAATAATAATAATAATAATAATAATAATAATAATAATGTTTTGGCTTTCAACTCGCAGAAATCCTAACAACTGCTAAACTGGCTGGGATTTCTGGGAGTTGTAGGCCAAAACACCTGGGGACCCACAAGTTGAGAACCACTGTCCTAAGGGAACTCAAAGTGGTTTCCAACATTTTAAAGGCAAAATTCAATGCCATACATACATGTGAAAACCAAAAGATAATAGCAAAACAATACCATATAACTATAAACTAACCTAACCAAATTAAAACATAAACATAAAAGAACATTTAGAAATAAAGCATGAAAATTAAACATCAATATTAACATTTATATTAAGACCCACCAATAAACAACATGGTTTAAAAACAGTTATTAAAATCACGCCATGCAAAATCAAGTCCGTGGTTGTTCCATTGGTCCATTCACATTCAATCTGCTGGGTAAGCTACTCCAATTCAATACTGCCACTACTCTTAGCTGGTCACAGTACTTAACATCAGGTACAGAAACTATGAGCTTCTGTGTGCCACACCTCCTTCTGCCCCCTCCCTCGCAGTTCTTGGGTGGAACAGTTTCTGAGGCTTGCTAGGCAAGATTCTTTGTAAGCAGAAGTACCAGGAATAAACCTTGATATGCCAGACATACGGTCTATTAAGCACTTTCCTAGGATGTACAGCCTCTTACTGTACTGGTAGATTTTGCTGGTAAATTTGATCCTTGGCTAAAAATGTTTTTCTCACTGATTGTTTGAGTTGCGAACTTTATCTAGCCATATTCAGTGTATTGTTTTTCCAGCTAGCACCCATTCATAGATTACTCTAGATCATTTCTCTCTGAGCAATAGTGACAATCTGTGCAAAAAACCACAATGAGTTCTTGGCTCAACAGGAAATCTCTTATCCTCCCAGCCCCCGTTTTACACTTCCCACGTAAATTTCATTGACCAGCCCACTCAGTTTCTCAAAATACTTTCTCTTGTACCCCTGATTCCAAATGAATTATTTATTTAGCTCAGGCAGTGGAGAGAGTGAGTTACCCTTTAACAGAGTCTGCATTGTTGAACCAAGGGAATGTGGAAAAATGCCCAGCTTGGCAATTTAGCAAAGAGCTGCAAATGTGTTGGAGAATTACTGATGCTGCTAATGAAGAATAGTCTAAATCAAAAGAAACCCTGAATACATTATGACTAAATCTAAGGCCCTATCTACACTGCCATATAATGCAGTTTGAAACTGCTCTTTTTGGTCGGTGTAGACTCATATAGCACAGTTTAACTGCATTGAACTGCATTAAATGATTCTACACTGACTGTATAATGCAGTTTCAAATTGCATTATATAGCAGTGTACATGTGGCCTAAAGATACTACTGTTAGAGGATCACGCTCCAACGTGAGTGACAGACTTTCTCACATATTAAGTTAGCCTAGTTTTGAAGGCAAAAAAAGAAGCACACCACTAACTGGTGTGCCATAGTCACATGACAATTTTGCACATTTGCCCTTAACACTTAAGTAACAATTGAGAGAACTGTGTATGCAACCTGAAATGATCACAGTCAGTTCTAGCACAGGTATTTTTCCTTAAGCCATTTGTACAACTGCCTCAATTCCGCTTTGTCCAGCTTTAAATACAGGGCTATGCTGAGATGACCGCATATTCATGAGGAGGCCAGCCAAATTAACATGCTGTTTAGTTTCAGGATTCTTGTGAAAGCTTCTAAATATGTCTCTTTTAAGAGTACGGGAGCCCTCACAATCCTACTGCTTTTGCAATTATGTATCCTTATAAATCACTCAAAATTGTTTTACTTTCACTAGGTTCAAGGAACTTTTGACAAGGTAGAATTCAACAAAATGTGTTGGACATTGTGTGCCAGAAAGAACCTCACAAGAAATACCCTGCTCCTTACTGATGATGATGCTTTTAAAGTATGGGTCATTTTCAATTTCTTATCTGAGGATAAGTATCCACTCGTCATTGTACCAGAAGAGGTATGAAATCATTATTTCCGATGTCCAAACATTCTTTTTCCAGGCATTCCTATACTAGCTGTATCTTTCTGGTTTCATTTAGGCCCTTTCTACACCGCCATATAATTCAGATTATCAAATCAGATAATCCAGATTATCTGCTTTGAACTGGATTATATGAATCTGCACTGCCATATAATCCAATTCAAAGCAGATAATCTGGATTTTTATGGTAGTGTAGAAGAGGCCAACATTGTTTTGAGTTGTTTGTAGAGAAATAATGTTAAACATCTTGGAAGTGAAGCTGGAATGTAATAACCATAGATAATAGTGTACACTGTATTTTGACTATACTTGGGATAATGAAAGCATACTAGGGAATCACCCTCAGATGCCTTGGGAGGAGTTTAATGGTTTTTTGGAACTTAGGTAAGTGAAAATGTGGATATCAAATAATGGGCTTATACTGTAAGATACGCTTTCACCCATAAGGCATTTATTGTTGAGTTTCCAATACAACAGAGAACATTTGGTCATTTAGACTTAAACCAAATTGACAACTGTAAAATAGGAGACAGTACCTCTCTCTTTCATCTTTCACTTAGATGATTTGCTGTTCCTTTTGGTCAGATTCTTTCTGTTTTCTATACAGATTGAATACTTGCTTAAGAAGCTGACAGAAGCTATGGGATTAGGCTGGCACCAGGAACAGTTTGAACATTACAAGATCAGCCTGGATGCTAATGGAAAAGGCCTTTCTGCCTGGGAACTGATTGAGCTCATTGGAAGTGGATGGTTTAGCAAAGGGATGGATAGACAGACAGTATCTATGGCAATTAATGAAGTCTTCAATGAACTTATATTGGACGTATTGAAACAGGTAAGAAATGTACACAACTTCTAAAAGTGCTAGCATAAATGATTTTAGTGAGATATGGTATGATTTTTTTTCTAAAAATAAGTCTTTCAAAGATAAACAAATTTTGTAGAAGTGTGACTTTTGCAATGTGTATAAAATCAGACAGATTGGTCAGCCTGAAAAGCAACTTTACTGTATTATCCTGTTTTGCATAACTGTATTCTTTTTGTTCTTGATATGAGAGAGAGAGAGAAAGAGCGAGGGAGGAAATTAAGGGTCCCAGTCACTTGAGACATTTAACTATCTTTCCTGTTTTTTTCTGAGGCTTTATCAAAATGCTGAAGCTTGCTTTTGCACTTTTAGCAGAAACTTATTTATTATTTATTTATTTATTTATTTGGTGCATTTATTGACCGCCGCTCTCAGCCCTAGGGCGACTCGCGGCGGTGTACAGCATATAAAAACAGTTTACAAAAAACAGAAACAAGAAATCCATACAACAATAATACACAATACTATAAGTTACACTAAATAATCCGCTTCGTCATATCATAGAATCATATCCAATATCGTAGTCCATATTCCGTTCCAGATGTCAATTGCCAGTTGCCGTAATATTCAGTTAAATGCCTTCTCGAAAAGCCAGGTCTTTAGGCTCCTGCGGAAGGACAAAAGGGAGGGCGCCTGTCTGATGTCAACAGGGAGGTCGTTCCACAGCCGGGGGGCCACCACCGAGAAGGCCCTCTCTCTCGTCCCCGCCAGGCGTGCCTGTGAGGCAGGCGGGATCGAGAGAAGGGCCTCCCCAGATGATCTCAAGGTCCTCGTGGGCTCATAGGCCGAGATGCGGTCCGAAAGGTATTTTGGGCCGGAACCGTTTAGGGCTTTGTAGGATAACACCAGCACCTTGAATTGGGCCCGGTAGCAAATCGGCAGCCAGTGGAGCTGGGACAGCAAGGGCGTTGTGTGCTCCCTGCGTCCCGCTCCGGTTAACAACATGGCTGCCGCGCGCTGGACTAGCTGGAGCTTCCGGGCCGTCTTCAAGGGCAGCCCCACGTAGAGAGCGTTGCAGTAGTCGAGGCGGGATGTGACCAGAGCGTGTACCACCGTGGCCAAGTCAGACTTCCCAAGGTACGGGCGCAGCTGGCGCACGAGCCTAAGCTGTGCAAATGCTCCCCTGGTCACCGCTGAAACCTGGGGATCCAGGCTCAATGATGAATCCAGGGTCACACCCAAGCTGCGAACCTGCGCCTTCAAGGGGAGTGCAACCCCATCCAACACAGGCTGTAACCCTATACCCTGTTCGGCCTTGCGACTGACCAGGAGTACCTCTGTCTTATCTGGATTCAATTTCAATTTGTTCGCCCTCATCCAGACCGTTACAGTGGCCAGGCATCGGTTCAGGACCTGACCAGCCTCCTTAGTAGCAGGTGGAAAGGAGTGACAGAGTTGGACATCATCTGCGTACAGATGACACCGTACCCCGAAACTCCGGATGATCTCACCCAGCGGCTTCATGTAGATATTAAACAGCATGGGGGACAGTATAGAGCCCTGTGGAACCCACAAGTCAAAGGCTGTGGCGTTGAACAGGAGTCCCCCACTAACACCTTCTGGGTACGACCCTCCAGAAATGACTGGAGCCACTGCAAAGCAGTGCCCCCAAGACCCATCTCCGCAAGGCGCCCCAGAAGGATACCGTGGTCGACGGTATCGAAGGCCGCTGAGAGGTCCAGGAGCACCAACAGGGACACACTCCCCCTGTCTAGCTCCCGGCGCCGATCATCCACTAAGGCGACCAAGACCGTCTCGGTACCATGTCCCGGTCTGAAACCAGACTGTGCCGATCCAGATAATCCGTGTCTCTCAAGAATACCTGGAGTTGTGAGGCCACCACGCTTTCCATGACTTTGCCCAAGAAGGGAAGATTGGAAACAGGCCGAAAGTTGTCAAATTTAGTGGGGTCCAATGATGGTTTCTTCAACAGCGGTTTTATAATAGCCTGTTTTAGGCTCGCTGGAATCTTGCCTTCCCGAAGGGAGGCATTAACCACCACCGTTACCCACTCAGCCAATCCCCCTCTGGCCTCCTTCAGAAGCCAGGATGGGCAGGGGTCTAGGATGGACGTGGTGGGCCTCATTCCTCCAAGTATCTTGTCCACATCCTCGGGCTTCACAAACTGAAAAGAATCCATCAAAATAGGACAAGCAGGTGCTCGTGTCACATCCTCGGAGACTGCATTTAACGTGGTGTCCAGCCCAGAACGGATCAAAGCGACTTTGTCTGCAAAGAACCGAGCAAATGCTTCACAGCGCGTGCCCGAATTGTCAGGGCTCCCGCCTGAGGTGGCGGGAGTTAAAAGACCTCTGACAATCCGAAACAACTCCGCCGGACGGTTTTTTGCAGACGCAATAGTGGCCGCAAAGAAAGTTTTCTTTGCGGCTTTTATTGCCGCGGCATATGCCCTTAGAAAGGACACAAACCGTGCTCGATTTGGCTCGCTTGGGTCCGAGCGCCACACGCTCTCTAGTTCCCTCTTCCTTCGCTTCATCACTGCCAGCTCCTCAGTAAACCAAGGGGCTGGTTTAGCTCGGCTACTTGAGAGGGGACGTTCCGGAGCAATCATGTCAATAGCCCTGGTCATCTCCCCATTCCAGAGAGCGACCAAGGCCTCGACATGGTCACCTACCGAGGTGGCGGGAAAATCCCCAAGAGCCGTCAGGAATCCATTCGGATCCATAAGCCTCCTGGGGCGGACCCTCTTAATGGGTCCTCCACCTTTGCAGAGGTTAGGGGCGCAGTGAGCCTAAATCTGATCAGGAAGTGGTCAGTCCATGGCAACGGAGAGATGGACAACTCCTCCACACCGCCACCCTGCTCCCATCCCTGGCAGAAAACCAAGTCCAATGTATGTCCAGCACAATGGGTGGGGCCAGATATCTGTTGGGACAGCCCCATGGTTGCCATGGCGGACATGAAGTCCTGAGCCGCTCCTGTGAGGGTTGCCTCGGCATGGATATTGAAGTCTCCCAGCACCAAAAGCCGTTGAGACTCCAATTCCAGGCTCGAGACTACCCCCGCTAGCTCAGGTAGGGAGACTGTAGTGCAGCGAGGTGGACGGTACACTAGCAGAATCCCTATTCTGTCCCGGTCACCCACCCTCAGGTGGACGCATTCAAAATTTGTGGTCTGCGGGATGGGGCTCCTGGTCAGATGGATGGAATCTCTATAGACCACTGCGACCCCGCCTCCCCGTCCCCGGATCTCGGTTGGTGCTGTACGGAGAAGCCTGGAGGACAAAGCTGGGTAAGATTTACGCCTCCAGCCTCATCCAGCCAGGTCTCCGTAATGCACGCCAGGTCTGCCCGCTCATCCAGGATTAAATCCTGGATAAAGGTCGTTTTTCCGTTGACAGACCTGGCGTTCAACAGCACCACCTTCAATCCAGAGGGCCCGCTCGCCTGGTTACACCAATTTACCTTAGGAGACCGATTTGGGATTATTAATGTAGATACGCGGTCCGAATTAGGCCGAATTTGATGTCTCCTTTTTCCGCATCTCCCCCTCCCCACCACGACCTCTATGGGGGCCCCTCGGCTAGTGGAACACCTCCCCTCCTCCATGCCGCAGTCCAAACCAAGGTCTTAATTTCTGTTTCGCTCGTTGTTTGGTTCGTTGGCCCTTGCCATCTCCCTTGCTCCCCTTCCTCCCCCCTCCCCGCCTCATTCTTGTTCACCGGTTCCAGCCCACCTCCTCCCTTGCCCCTTCCGCTGGTCAATAATAACAGGGACAATACAAATAGGGGGATGGGGAACCACATGGATAACAATAGAATTCAGACGGTGATAAGCGTTCCAGCCACGTCAGTTAGATAGTTCGTAAAGTGCAAATTCATAAAGTGCAGAGATCTTAAAGTGCAACAGATACCCGACACTGGCATTCAACGCTAACTAAAGTGCGGCATAGAGGGATAAGGAAGGGGGTGTAAGTGCTGGTATAGTTTAGCAGCAGTGGCAGGCGCCTAGGTGCTATAATGCGTTCTTATATCAAATTAGCAGCGAAAGACAACCAAGGAACGTACTATGTTAGTAATATGTAAACACACTATTATGAAGATGCTGATGATAGCAATTAGATAAGGTTGTTATGATTCAAGGTGTAATCTCTAGCCGGTTGATGTTAAAAGCGGATAGGTCTTCAATCTTCCGGAGATGGTCAACATGGCGGTGGTCAGCACAATTGGTCTATCACAATATCTATCGACACAACAAAGGCCAGCACAAACGATCTACACAATATCAGTCAACACAGCAACACAGCAGAGGTCAGCACAAAAGGTCTATACGCGGCTTGCCCAGATGGTGGAGGCCCAAGTGGTAGAAGATGGTAAGGCCGTTCAGGACACGACAAGCCTTGTTGCAGGCACTGCTGGACGATAGAAATCAGCTGGAACGCCGGGACTGGAAAGATGGAAAACCAGGGAGGGCCAGGAGATCAGCCGGAGCGACGGGGCCAGAGCGATGGGAAGCCAGCGGGCCCAGGACTCAGCACCTCCAGGTCGCGATGTGGTGGCGTGGCGACGCCGGCAAGCAGCCAAGATGGTCAGAGGCCAGTCAAGCCGCATCCAATCCAGCCCGAGCGGTGAGGGGAGGGAGCGCATTCAAGCCGGTAATGGCGGCGGCCGAGATGCTCTACCTCTCGGGGGACGAGCTGCTCGGCGATGGTAATCCTCGGCTCCCCGCCGGCCGAAATGGACGTAGTAGCTGGTTTTTTTTATGTTGTTATGTAGCGGCTTCGGCCCTAGCAATAAGCCCTAACTCGCTCCGACACCCCACGGAGGGGAGAGCGAGGCCCGATGGTGAGGGCAGCACGGCTCACACAGCCAGGGCCCGGCTCAAGCGATCCCCGCGGCGATCCAGCTGGTGTAGGCCCCCCAATGGAGGTTCCACTCGCGGCGCTCGCGGTGGCAGCTTCGGCGCCGGCTGTTAGAAAGGCTCCAACCAGGCTCCAACTCACTCTTTCCCAGCGCTCCGCAGCGGGAGCAGGGCGATAATCGGCGGCGGCGGCTCACTTCCTCTCAGCCTCCTGGCCGCCTAGCAGCGGTTTGCTTCCTCTCGGCCTCCTGGTCGCCTGGCCGCCTGGCTGCTTCTGATGAATGGTGGGAATTGAAGTCCAAAACACCTGGAGGGCTCAAGCTGTCCCAGGCCTGGTCTATATCCTCTCTACATACTTGGCACACCTTGGCATATTTGTTCGCTTTTTGTGTGAAATGAAAGTTAAAGTTCGTGGACATTGGATTCTCTGCCCCAGTATTTTTTTGCTGTGGTCACAGAATGAACTGCAAATGTCTCATACCCAGAAACATACAACAGCATCTCTCAATAATGCTTGGGGAAAATGCAGTTGTTCTAAGGATCTTGTTGATAAGAAGTGTCAGGTTTCAAATAAATTTGCTCTTCAATAAATTTATCATTGCTTAAGAAAAAACGGCAATAGTAGTATAGTTTATCCAAATGTTATCAATGTTGCTGTAATTCACCCTTCTACAACTGGTCCAGTAGGCATCATCTTCACATTTCAGTTACTGTGATTAGGAACATATTTCAGATGTTTCAATTTGTCCAAAGTAACTATGTAAAACATTTTGGAAGTGTTAAAAACAAGATAAAATATATATACAATAAAAATCCTAGTAGTTTGGCAGAATTTCTTTTGGGTGGAGCAAAAATTCTACCGAAACTGCACTGCATGTTTTTAAAGCCCACAGTTTCTCATGTGGAGTTGTAAGTTTGAATATGACTTTAAACATGTAGCTATGTGGGGAAATAAGGAGGAAGTACAAATGCTCTCAGGAGGCCCAGGTGCACGAGTGGAGTCTGTGGCTGAGAGAGTGGGAGCTGAATTTGCTTAAGTGAGACACTAAAGCAGTGGTTCCCAACCTGTGGTCCAGGGTCCACCAGTGTTCACAAGACCTAAAATATGGTCTGCAGCCTCACCATTATTACAGCATTGCAATAAGAGTGACTGGTCTCGTGAAACCCTCTTATAGTGCCGAGACTTATTAAATATGGTTTTCTGTGGGTGAGCAGATGGCAACTACTGGATAGCTTATGTTCTGTATCAGAAACTAGAGTTGATGTGGTCTATGCAATGCAGTTTTCTTAATCAGCACCCCAAATAACCAAACCAAATCTAAAGTTGACCAAAAACTGATTTATAACCCTTTTGGTACTAATGTTAGAGAGTGGCCCCTGGTCAAGTGTTCCTTGGTCAAGTGGTCCCTGATCAAGAAAAAGTTGGGAACCACTGCACTAAAGAATGGATCAGTTTTGGTGAAATCATACTAGAAATTATTCAGAGATAATGATATCTCTGCATGCAGTGCTCCACGACAAAAGGAAAAGTGCTAAATACCAGCTTCTGGCCAGATAGGTTATCTCTTTTAGCACTGTTTTGAAGAAATCTTTGTATGTACAGACAGAGGTCTATTTTATGACTAGTAAGAGGAGTTCCATTTAATCAATTGCTGAATGGTGAGTCAGTGCTCAAATCAATCCCATTTGTTTAATTGATCTATTTTGGTTAGGACCGGTAGTTGTGTTTAGGCCAGTCTTTAAATCTAATTGAAGAAAACAAAATGTTTTAGCCTAGCTTCCCCTAGATTTAGCTTGCTTTTCAAACTTAATGTGTCACAAAATGTTCTGTTGAGTGTTGGTCAAATATTGTCTAAAAGGGGTTAAGTGTTTAAGGCAAAACAGATGTGAACAAACCACGAGAGTAAAGATGAAGATCCACCCAGAGGAAAAGTGTTCCTGCCATACATCAAGGGAACCACTGACCGCATAGGGAAGCTGATGAGGAAACACAACATACAAACAATCTACAAACCCACCAAGAAAATCCAACAAATGCTATTCAGCAAAGGATAAGAGGGATCCTCTCACCTCTGCAGGAGTCTACCGTGTACCATGCAGCTGTGGACAAGTCTACATAGGGACCACCAAACGCAGCGCCCAGACACGCATCAAGGAACATGAAAGGCACTGCAGACTACTTCAACCAGAGAAGTCAGCCATAGCAGAGCACCTGATGAACCACCTGGACACAGCATATTATTTGAGAACACAGAAGTTCTGGACCACTCTCACAGCCACCATGTCAGACTACACAGAGAAGCCATTGAAATCCACAAGCATGTGGACAATTTCAACAGAAAGGGAAGACCATGAAAATGAACAAAATCTGGCTACCAGTATTAAAAAACTCTAAAATTACAACAGCAAAACAACAGAGAGGAAACAACCAGGCACAGATTAACACCTCCCAGCAAGAGATTTTCCCAGTCTCAGGCAGGCCTTCAAATGCTAATGAAGGTGATCAGCTAAACATTCACACCTAACTGCAGCAGGGAAGAGCTCCTTGCCCCACCCCAGCCATTCCACAGATATATAAACCCATTGTCCTAATTCCAACAGACCTCACTACCTCTGAGGATGCTTGCCATAGATGCAGGCGAAACGTCAGGAGAAATGCCTCTAGAACATGGCTCTATAGCCCGAAAAACCCCACAAGAACCTAGTGATTCCAGCCATGAAAGCCTTCGACAATACATTAAAACAGATGTGCTTTTCTCCTTCCTTCATATAGAAGCAGATAAATGGCCGTCATTTCTGATTTTACTTGTGTTTATTGCAACAGTTCCAAGGAAACATTTCTGTGAGAGCAAGCGAGTCAGGTAGTAAGATTAATGTCAGGGGAATAGGGGAATATACCCATGTATGGTATCTACCAACCTCTTTTACTTAAAGTTTGTAATGTCCTTTTTAAATCCAGCAAAATTTATAATTACATAGAACGGTGTGTTTTAAACATGCATTTCTGTCTCTCTCTCTTTTTTTCTGTGATACCATTTGAATAGCTTAGCCCAAATTGGATAAAACTATGAGGTATGTTCTACTGTTTCTCAAATGTAGAGATGCTTCTGACACTTCTAGTTAAATGACCTTGGGGAAAGCAATCTGTGCACCTCAGAGGCTCAATTCTTGCATGTTGTGTGTGTTTCTCTTTCCATCTCTGTCTTGATAGAAATGCAGTATCTTCTGTTCTAGTTGTTTTAAGAGTGGGAATGAGTGTTGGAAGATTTGGCCAGTTTTACATGTCTGTGCAGTGCATGTACTGTATAAACCGAACCTATGCTCGGGCTTTTCCCAACCAGTGAAGGTATTTTATAATGTATTATAGTGGTTCAAACATAATGTCAAATCATAGTGTTTCATTGCAGTCAGGAACTTTACATTTGTACATTTTTTCTTTGTTTGTAGTTAAGCATCTGATCCTGCTTTGAGGCAACCGATAATTTGCAATTTCATTAAATGAGTAAATTCTCATTTGTACTTGTACTGCTAATCAGTATTTGGTTTAGTATTGACTGATGAGTGCAAGCTATAGTTTACCTCAGCTGTTCTGGAGCTGAGCAGTTCTTGACAACTCTTTCATATAATATCAAACCATGACTTGTCATAGCCTGAAGCACCTTTCTCCTGTAATTCTTAGTTGACACATTGCATCACAATCCCCTCCATTTCTCCTAAACTTTTACGTTTGTTTTAAGTTCAGAACAAACAATGCCAATAATTACTGTGCACTAAAAGTGTGTTTGAAATATTACTATTTTTCTACATTGATGTACTGCATGGATTACTTTTGTATTCTCATAAGACGCATGCTAATTACAATTCTGTTGAATCTTTGTTATGTAGTGGTGTGCTGTATTTATATATCGTGCTTAATTGTAAACATTACAATCTCTTGAGAGGTTATTTCTTCAGTTGACATCAATCTTGAATAAGTAGTTTTGTGAAAGCTATATATATTTCCATGTTTGAAAACTCGAAAGCTGTACTAACTGTTTTTGGATTTCAGATCAGAATTCTAACCCAGAAATTCTGTTATTAAAAAATTATGAAAAAAATGTTTTACAGGGTTATATGTGGAAGAAAGGCCATAGACGGAAAAACTGGACAGAGCGTTGGTTTGTTTTAAAACCCAATATTATATCCTACTATGTGAGTGAAGATTTAAAAGACAAAAGAGGCGATATAGCACTGAATGGCAACTGTACTGTAGAGGTAAAAAAATGAATTGTAAAAGTAACAATTTAAATATTTTTTCATAGAAAATAGGGTAACAGAGTATTTAAATATTTTCATCTAGCAATTATTTCAGTCAGTTGTGCTACTTCTGTAATTTTAAATGTAATAATTAATATAACAAAATTAGCCACACCTCAGCTACTATATCCTGTTATAGAAAAATTCATAAAGAAAACTACTTGCTTTTTTGGACTGCTTCCTTAATTTTAGTGGGAAAAGCACATTACAGAGCTGCTGTTTGCAAATGTTTTCACAGTAGCAGTGCCTGAAAAAAAGGCAAGCATATGTATATGCATAAAATTGGCAAGCACTATTTCTTTTAATGTAGTCTTATGCTTCCACTGATAGCAGTTTAGCATTAAGTGTTAAATGTAACAACATTGATTACTAAGCCAACATTATCCTAGTGGTTCAAAACCCTCTGCTAGGGAAAGAAACTCCCGAAAATTGTGCTGATACAGAAAAAAGCATAATGTTAGCTATCATTATTCAGTTCTTGTTACATAATGTAACTTCCATTATTATCTTTGTCAGAGTCTCTTTTGTTTTTTGTGAATCAAAATGACGATTCCTCTAAGCAAGCAGTAATTGTATTGAAATATATCATCAGCGTTAGGATATGGCATATTCTTTATTATTTTATACTAGCCGTCCTCTGCCATGCGTTGCTGTGGTCTGTGTATATGTGTTTTGTGTGTGTGTGTGTATTTGTGTGTGTGTATGTATATATATATATGGTTTTGTGCATGTATTTTTTTGCTTTTTAAGTCTCTTCTGCTGTGTTTTCAGTATTTTTATGAGGGATGGTCAATCGTTGGCCTGATAGGTGTATTGTGTCCAAATTTGGTGTCAATTTGACCAGTGGTTTTTGGGTTATGCTAATCCCACAAACTAACATTACATTTTTATTTATATAGATAAAACTTCTTTTTCCCCCTCCCTTAGGCCTTACCTGACAAAGATGGAAAGAAATGTTTGTTCCTTATAAACAGTTTTGAGAAATGTTTTGAGATTAGTGCATCTGATAAGAAAAAGAAACAGGAGTGGATTCACGGTAAGAAATAACAGTTTTATTTTTTAAATTAAAAAGTAATTTAAGCTAACTAAAACATACTAAACAACTTGACTGCTGGAGGAAGCAACCTCCTCTATATGATGTTTGTTTTGTAATGTGTCGTTTTATAACCTAAAGTATATGTCTAATTTGATTTGTAGTTTCCTTATCTCTATATTCCTAAAGAGGTGGGAGGGGCTGCAGGTGATGTGACTGACTTAGTGACAGTTTAGAATGTTTAGGTTTAAACAGGATGGCAGGTAATGTCAGTTGAGAAATGACTGCTAGAGAAGTGTATTGTACCTTGAATGAGCTTGAGTAGAGAAGTCTGTCAGAGTGCAGAAACTCATGTTAGGAAGTTAGAAAGTGTTGAGGCTTGTATTTTATTTGAAAGTATAAACTCTTGTTAAAGAGATCTGTATAAAGCAACATAGTTTATGAAGAAACTGTTATCAATTATAAGTTCAAGATACAAACCCTCTGAAACATTACTTGAAACCTTTAACCCTCGACAAAAATATGCCTGTATCTTTAAATACATGAATTTATCAGTAAACAAAACTTATCATTAAAAGAAATCTGCTTGCATCATTGTCTGCTGAAAGCATCAAACAGAAACAAAATATCTACATGCCCAGTGATCATTCATTACCAAATAAACTTTGCTACCCCAATTAGATTGTGATCCTAAGAGTTCATGATTTATATACCCCGATGGTCAGTTATCCTAACAGGTCGTGATCCATTATCCCCAATATTGACAAGTTAAAACAAGACAATTGAAATAAATTTAACACTTTCATTTAGAACCATAATGCATATGCCAATTGGGATTTATCAGGTAGGTCCCAAAAGGCTTTAAAAGGCTTTGCTTGGTACCAGTTAGGTTTCCAGGAGAGGATGCATCAGACAGCGTCATTGAGTAGAGAGAGCTCTTTCTTACTTTCATCTACAGTGTATTGTCCCCACTGGCAGAACAAAAAGTAGGCCTCCTGCAGACCTCAGTTAGGTATTTGTAGGGAGAGGTACTCTTTCAAGTTTTTCTGGAAGGTAATCAGTGCATCCCCGTTAAAGACCATTGTTATATGGTCTCTTAAACAATCTAGATGCTGTGTTTTTCTATGTGTGGTTTCCGATTTGTCCACTGGCAGTTCCATTTAAAAGCACAATACAAGTAGTCTAACTGGAAGTTACCAGGTTATCCCTGCGCAGGAAAAGTTGCAGCTCATGATGGATCTTTTGAAGCACATAGAGTTCACCTGGATTTCCAGTAACAGAGAAGGATCTAGGAATTCTCCCCAGCTGCTCACTTATTTTTCAGTAGGAATCAGGACTGATTATCTACCCAGTTCCAAGACCACACAGGATGAATGGAGCAAGTAAATAGGATGAATGGGAGCCAGTATTGGCCCCTAGCCATCCTATTATAGCATCCAGGCACTGGTCCAACATCTGCACAGCCCAACCAATTTTAATGATAAGAAGTTTTGCTGAATATCATAAGCATACTAATGCAATCTGCCTGAAAACCCTTAATGACCTGCTCAGCAAATTTAAATGCATATGTAGGGATTGATGGAAACTCCTTGGCACTTGCTGAGCAGGAATCCCCTTGCACGACTCAAAAGTTCTGATTTATTTTCTTCTTCTTCTGGCACTTTGCCTTAATTTACAAACTCTTATAAACTGGAAGATGCAAGAAATAACCTGACAACTACAACCTTTGACCCAGTTTTTTTCTTTTTTATTGACTGCAAAAATCACATGTAGACCTATGGAAAGATAAATATGTGTAGCTGTTTATCTCAGTAAATGTTTGTATTGTTTCACAACAAATTGTTCATCTTCTTTGAAACATGCAATTATGAGTAGAATATTTCTGAGGAAGGAAATAGCAAAACCAACTCTTGAGCATTCCTTATCTAAGAAAACCCTATGAAATTCATGGGGTCGCCATAAGTTGATGCCTTGAAGATATATATATATCGAAATATGTATACTGTAAAATATGTATAATTATCAGTTGACTTTAACTTGTATTTTAACTCTGTGTATTTTGTTGTATGTCTTTTAATGGTGTTTTATCTCTTGTTTTAATGATGTTGTATCTTGCCTAGAGCCACAGGGAGATGCGGTTAATAAATTCATTACGAGTATTGTTATTATTTATATTAAAAAAGCAGCAGGGGCCTGTTTTTCAGTCTGAGTCTTTGTGGGATTTTCAGTCTACTCTATGAAGTAGCTTTGGAGATTTCATTTGTTTCAGAAACTATAAAATATTTATGTCATTGTTGTTTAGAAAAATTGTTAAGAGTAAGAAATAAGATATTCCTTTGAAATAAAGCTTATTGTGCAGATTTTTTGGAGGGTGGGGTAAGAATGCATGACATATGATGGCGCTTTAGCAAAGGTCCCTGCAAGTCTTTCTTTTTATCATTATGCTTTAGCAAGAGATAATTTTTCTGTGAATGACAGAAACTCACCCCCACCAAGAGATTGTAGAGGCAGCAACATAATACAATGAAACATTTATTGCTTTTGGAAATGGTACTCTCTACTTCCTTTTATATGCATATTCTTTCTCTAACCTGCACCCCCATCTCCAGTGCAGGCAGCAAAGTATATAAATACAGTACCATGTGATTTTGTGGCATGATAGACACTTATAATTATATCAGTTTATAACTAAACCACATCCTTAACATCAGTGTATGTTGGCCCTTCAGTAGTACAGATGGCACAAACTCTTTTTTTTTAACAATACATATTTAGATAATTATGGGTCTTGGGAACTAAAATGAAGTAGCATGGAATACCATACATCTGTTCGCCTCTTTGCTATTTTTAGCACTATTGTTTATATATGGTACTGAGTTGCAGTTTTCTAAATCTAATTTCTTTAAAAGAGCGTTAAAAATAATTGACTGATCCTAGAAAAGTTATTTTTAAAAATATAGTTCCAAGAGACTCAGAAAGCAGAGAGACTGCTTTCTGAGTCCTGCTTTTTATCGTCCTTTCTCCACTGCATGTTGTCTCTTAGCCTCTCTTAGCTTCTCTAGAAAATTTTTTTGAGCAATATGGCTGCAAATTTAACAATTCTTATGAGCTTACTTTGTCCACCACAGCCTGATTTCATATACCATACAGTGCAAGTTCCCCTTTTGTTTTATTCTGGTATTATTATTATTATTTACTTCGTTTCTTCTCTTGCATGTGTGGTTAATATAGTCAGTCAACATGAGTTATGTTCTACTGAGTCTTACAACTGACCCAGTTTTTTAACCTGTCTTTAACTTAGCTAGCTAGTCATGGCTTCTTACATCTCAAATTAAGGTATTTCCCAGTGAGTGCTACTTGGAATCATTTTGATAATGCAGTCTGAGATTGCCTGCTTACAAATTAGGCACTCTTTCAAAACCTCTTTTCAATGTCCTTAGTGTAAGGAGTGAAGGTAAAGGTTTCCCCTGACACTAAGTCTAGTCGTGTCTGACTCTGGGGTGGTGGTGCTCATCTCCATTTCAAAGTCGAAGAACTGGGGTTGTCCGTAGACACCTCCAAGGTCATGTGGCCAGCATGATTGCCTGGAGCAATGTTACCTTCCACAGAAGTGGTACCTATTGATCTTATATTTGCATGTTTTCAAACTACTAGGTTGGCAGTAGCTGGGGCTAACAGTGGGAGCTCACCTTGCTCCCCAGATTGAAACTGCCAAGTTCAGCAGCTCAGTGGTTTAACCTGCTGCACCACCAGGGGAGTGAAATGGCATAAGAAATGTGTTACCAGGCCAGCTGTTAGGAATTTGTGGACTTAAAGCAAAAATAATGTTATGATTTATCAATATAATATATCTGTTCTCACCACTCCATCTCCCCATATCCAATGCAAACAGCCATTCAGACAACTATAAATCTGTTACGATTAAATAACCCACCACCTCACAAGGAGGCACGGCAGAAACGGAAAGAGTTACGCCAGAAGCTTCAGGCGGAACAAGAGGAACTGGAGAGGCAAATGAAAGAGCTCCAAATGGCAAATGAGAACAAGCAGAAGGAACTGGAGACAGTCCGAAAGGTGGGTGAAGTCCTCAGGCCTTTGTCTTTCTGGAACATTGTGTTCCACTTTGGTTATAAATTGTACTTTGTGAGGCAGTGATGGAGTATAATATTCAAACAGATACAACTTAAAATGTTGTAGAATCTGTGTCTTAAAATGTCTCTCTCTCCAGCATAATGTTCATCCTGTGTGAACTGTATTTTTCCTCCAGTCAGTTGTTTGATATACTGTAGTTGGAGAGGGAATAGGGATGGTAGATATCCTCTTTCTGCTCCTGTTTTGCCACTAGAAAAAAATTCTTAAGCACTTAGCATCCATTTTTTTTCCTTTTCAGAATATAAATGCCAAGCAATAAAGCATTTCTTAAATTTTGAAGCCCGGTCTAATATAAAAGTGCTACGCCAATAATCCAATAATCTGAACATTGTTTACCTTGACTGTTCTGCAGTTAGGGGAAGAAGTTTCCTGGATGGTGCCAGGCATACAATTCAACCTGCAGGGAATTTCCAGATCTGGGAGAAGATAAGACTCTCAGGTCTTTTGTTTTCCTCCGTATGTGTTAAATACACATTGACATACAGTGCACTAAACCAAAGCAATTTTTATTTTCAATGAAAGATGTTGACATGGGCTTTCTGACTTGATAAGGAAGGCCTCAAAATTGTTTGGTGTTTTCCTCAGCTGGCATGTATAAACTGTTAAAGATGACGAGAGCAGTCTGAGAATGGGAGTGTTTTCATACTAATGCATATAATCTGAAGAGTTTTAATGATTGCAGACAATACTTGGTCAGAGAATGCAAACACAGTGTAAAGAAGTGTGAGTTTGCTTTTAAGCCAGGCTGTAGTAGAAAGTAGGAAGGATTCCAGAAGAAATTTGATCAAGCTAGCACAATGCAGAATAAATATAAAGTTAGTAATGAACATGGACAGATAAATAAACCAATTCCAACTAATGATAATAACGCTTTGAAAAGCACATTCTGTTCCTAAAACAGGGTAATGTTGCAGGTCATTGCAGATTTAGTGGAACTTTACATGTTGGTTTTTATTTAAAAAGAAAAGCACCTCAATAACTAGAAATCTCAAGATTTCACAGATAGCAGAGTTTAATTAGTTGCATATTTCATTCATGGTATTCATTGCAGACCCCATAGCTGAGGATTTTTGTTGCACTGGGGGTAGGTGAAGATAAAATGTACTGATTCGGGTCTTCTAGATTCCCTGAGTCCTGATGAGCCCTGTGGTAGTGCTGGACAGCAGACTGGGCCAAATCAGACCCAATCCAGCTGTCCACTGCACTGAAGCTGAAGAGATAAAGATTAGTCTGGCATGACTTGAATTTCTCAAAAACAAGTCAAGCCAGATTAATTTTATCTCTTTTTTGATAGATTTACAAGCTTGGTAGATGCAGGGAATGCTGTGGATGTAGCATATCTTGATTTCAGTAAGGCCTTCGACAAAATCCCCCATTACCTTCTTGTAAGCAAACTAGTCAAATGTGGCTAGGCAATGCTACTATTAGGTGGATCTGTAATTGGTTAAGCAGCCAATCCCAAAGGGTGTTCACTAATGGTTCCCCTTCATCCTAGAAAGAAGTGACTAGTGGAGTGCCGCAGGGTTCGGTCGTAGGCCCAGTACTGTTCAATATCTTTAGTAATGACTTGGATGAAAATTTAGAGGGCATGCTTATCAAGTTTGTAGATGACACCAAATTAGGAGAGATAGCTAATACTGCAGGGGACAGGATCAGAATTCAAAATGACCTTAATAGATTAGAGAGGTGGGCCAAAACTAACAAAATGAATGTCAACAAGGACAAATGTAGGATACCACACTTAGGCAGAAAAAATGAAATGCAAAGATACAGGATGGGTGCTGCCTGGCTCAACAACAGTCCATGTGAAAAAGATCTTGGAGTCTTTGTGGACAACAAGTTGAACATGGGCCAACAGTGTGATGCAGTAGCTTAAAAAAGCCAATGGGATTTTGGGCTGCATCAAAAAGATTATTGTGTCTAGGAGTCATAGTGCCCCTCTATTCTGCTTTGGTTAGACCTCACCTGGGATACTATGGGATACTATGTCCAATTCTGGGCACCACAGTTCAGAAAAGATATTGTCAAGCTGTAAAGTATCCAGAGCAGGGCAACTAAAATGATGAAATGTCTGGGGACCATGAATTTCTATGAGGAGCGTCTTGGAGAGCTGGATATGTTTAGCCTGCAGAAGAGAAGGCTGAGAGGAGATGTAATAGCCATGTATAAATATGTGAAAGTATACCATAAGGAAGAGGGAGCAAGTTTGTTTTCTGCTGCCCTGGAACTATTCCTAATGACTCAGAGCAGTGGGTTCAAATTACAGGAAAGGAGTTTCACCTGAACGTTAGGAAGAATTTCCTGACAGCAAAAGCTGTTCAGCAGTGGAACATTCTGCCTCAGAGTGTGCTGGAATCTCCTTCCTTCGAAGGTTTTAAACAGAGGCTGGACGGACATCTGTCGGGGTGCTTTGATTTTCCTGCATAGCAAGGGGTTGGACTAAATGGCCCATGTGGCCTCTTCCAACTCTATTATTCTATGATTCTACTCCTGAGGCTATATCTACATTGCCATATAATCAGTTTATTAAAGCAGATAATTCACATTATCTGCTTTGAACTGCATTATATGAGTCTCCACTACCATATAAGTGATGCAAAGATAGTTTAAACCCATAAACTCTGAGATTTTCACAGGAAATAGCTGTTTGTCATGAAGAGTGCGAGCTTTCTATTTGAGGTGAGTCCGGGGTTTTTGGCTAGTTTAAATAAGACCTGAGAGAATTACGGTGCTGGCAAGATCAGTGTAATAAATACAAAGTATTGTGCAAGTATTTCATTCAGTGCTACTTCCTTATCTCCAGATCAGTTGTAAAATGCCAAACTGGTTAGACAGGTCTTCATAGAAATGCTTTCAAGAGCTGTAGTAATCTTGCATGAAATAGGGGTCTTCTACCTCAGAGTAAGGGTATTAAAAAATTACCAAACATTCCATAATGCTCCAGAAATTAAAGGATTCTGAGTTGCAAGAAAAAAAGTTTCTAAATTTTTATACCAGGAGGAACTTAACTCATTTTGGCAGTGTGGTGTTGAAGTGAAGGGAAAGCTGGGGATATGTGTAAAAGATATAGGCCAGGATCTAAACAGCATAGTAGCAGCATTTTGTCTCTTTCAAGAAAACAGGTGAAACCAAGCACTTCTCTTTCTATTGAGAGAGGTATTGTAACTCCATTGTTGCAGAATTGTGAATACAAGCAGCATTCACTTGTGTTTTCTGCATGAAGTATGTTACCCTATGTTTTTATGGTCTATAACACAATCCTGGAGTATTTCATCTTATATAACAAAGCTTTCTCGTTTCTGGCATGGGGTACTCTTACAGAGACAGGAATCTGGCAATCCTATAGATTAGTGGTTCTCAACCTGTGGGTCCCCAGATGTTTTGGCCTTCAACTCCCAGAAAACATCACAACTGGTAAATTGGCTGCGATTTCTGGGAGTCGTAGGCCAAAACACCTGGGGACACATAGGTTGAGAATCACTGCTCTAGATCAGGAAAGGACAGCTGTAATAGCTTTGGGGGTCACTTTTTATGCCCTAGGACCATCTGGGATTTACAGAGACTACCACAAAATAAAACAAACCACCAAAATGACTGGAAGTCCATTTCTGGTTTTCAAAATGAGATTTTAGAAAACAGTACAAACAAGTTTTGCAACTTATTTAAAAGCTAATGTATTGTGCCCAGAGGCTTCCAAGAGCAGCAAATTGCCTTTTTTAGCAGTCTGGGGCAGGAGTCCTTAATTTTTATAAGCAGAGTTCATGGTCCCTCAGACTGTTGGGGAGCCGGACAATAGTTTGAAAAAAAGAAAAAGAATGATATCCTATGCCCATATTTTATTTGTATGTAAAAAACCAACAAAACCAAATAACAGTACAATATTTGAAATGAAGAATGATTTTAATATAAACTTACCAGTATTTCAATAGGAAGTGTGGGCCTGCTTTTGATTGATGAGAGAGTCAAGTTAATTATGATTGTTGTTGTGCCTTCAAGTCTAAAGTTTAGCATGGGGACCTTATTAATATGCCAAAATTAGCAACCAAATGACCATGGAAGATTTCATCTGACCAGCAGGCCTTCGTTTGGGAACCCCTGCTCTGGGGAATACCGATGGGTCACAAAATACCTATGGAACCTACATCCAGCCCCAGGGCCATACTTTGCTTCTGCTCTAGAGGTTGCTGAACTACAATCCCTACAACGTCTTGCTATGAGCAATACTGGCTGGGATTGCTTGAATTTGCAATGCAACAACATCTGGAGAGCCGGTTGATTCCGTTGCCTTCATTTGTGCGTTATCTGCGCATTTCATTATCTGCTTGGGAGTTATGAATGCAGAGTGTCACTTTAATCCTGTCTGATATTTTGTCTAGAGCTGTGCTACCCAAAGCTAGATTCCTTGGATTGGTGCCAGTCCCTGAGCGTTCTGCTGCTGATTCGTGGAGAATTTCCAAGAAAGAAAAAAAATAGTTATAGTTAAATGAAACAAAGATTGCATTGGTCCTTGGTACATTGAGGAAAATACAGCTATCTTCCATATTATATAGCTTGAGCAGCACTGTTCCAGTGCACTGCTCCATTTGGTTCCACCGGTTTGAAATGCTTTAGGTGTAACTGTTGATTCAGGCTGGTAGGATGTCTGACCATTTAACCCTAAAGCTTCATGACTCTGTGGCCCAAATATTATATCAGTCTGGCTAGTTGGAGCAAAAAGTGACACCTGTCTACTTATTTGACATCATGGACTGAGGAAGGTGGCATCCAGCCTGGTCTTTTACAGTATCACTGCTTTCTAGTATCCAAGAGCCAAACATAATAAGGTGATGGAAGGCTGAACTGTGCACAGGCACTTGTTTGTATGTAAGTCACTATAGTTCAGGGATAGAATAGAAAACAGAATCATTTGTGCTAGAAAATCATTTGTGCATGTATATGCCAGAGGGTTTTTTTTTGCAAGTGTAGAACAAATGTAACAAAGCAGGATTGTGCAAATGTGTTGCCATCTTTGGAAGCAGGCCTTTTCTAACATTTTAAAGTTACAACCCATAGTATAGTAATTTTCCTAGTGCAAGTTATAACAGTATCATAAAATACAAACAATACAAAAATATGACATTAAATTTACATAATAAACCGTTAATCCATACAATGCGTGTACATGAAATAATCAAGTGTTGTTCTTTTCCTTGGCACAGCAACTGGAAGAAGCTGCAGCTCGAGCTTCAGAGGAAGAGAAGAAGCGTCTGCAAACTCAAATGGAATTGCAGGATCGATTTAGCCTTGAACTGGAGAGAGAGAAAATGGTAAATAGCAAGGCACAGCAAAACAACAAACAAGCTCCCAGTTTATTGTTTTTATTAAGACTGTTTCTTGTTCATGTGTTTGAGGAGGGAAAGCAAACACTAAAGGGTTGCAAACTTATCAGATATGGTGGGGGACGACATTCGCTCTCAGAGACAGATGAATGCTTTCACTTGTATCAAAAGGTGATGCAGCATTCCTTCCATTCATATTGCTAGGTAAGGCAGCAGATGGAAGAACAAGTTGCCCAGAAGTCCTCTGAACTAGAACAATATCTATTGAGAGTGAAGGAACTAGAGGAAATGTATAAGCAGCTACAGGATGCCTTGGAAGATGAGAAACAGGCACGCCAAGATGAGGAAACCGTCAGGAGACTTCAGGCCAGGTCAGTACATAAATTAGTAACAATATCAATAAATCAGTAATGAGTGAAACTGACAGGATTCACATGCCTTTTTTATATAACAGAATGGGAGGTTTGAAGGGAACAGGCAATCCCCAAGTTATGAACAAGATAGATTCTGTAGGTTTGTTCTTAAGTTGAATTTGTATGTAAGTCAGAACAGGTACATTTTTAAGTGTGACGCCATATATATAGAGAGAGATTAACACCTCTGTGGTGTTTGTTTTGCTGTCTGTGCCCCTGTTCAGAACATTTCCCCTCACTTTCTGTCCCTGTGATAATTAGATTTTTTTAAAAAATTGGCTTGTTGAGAAGACAAGGATTAGTGATAGAGCTTCAGTGGAGACACCCTTTCCCCATGATAACTCTTCCAAGAGTAAGTTTCCCTTCCAAGGGGTAGATTTCTCTCACTTCCTGTGTCTCACCTCTATTCTTAACTATGAGTCATTTGTTGGCACAGCTGCAGGAAAACCGGAACATACACCCACATGTGGTGGCATTGTGAAAAAATACAAAAGTTTCATAAAATAATTAAGAAGGAAATGGGGGAACTATTGGGGATAAAAATAGATTGGAATAAGACACAATTTTTCCTCCAGAAAATTGAAGGAGAAGAGGGATTTAAATAATAGGAGAGATTAATAAATTACATGTTAGATGCAATTAAAGCCTCGGTCCCTTTAGACCAAAAGAAATGGGACACAAAAACATGGTATAAATATTTAGTGAACTACCTCCTCCAAGACAAAGAGGGGGAATAATGTAAACATGAGTTACCAATGGAAAATGTTTTGAATGTTTGTGTAATTTTGTGTAGCACTATTCACAATAAATTTGAGAATACATATATATTAAAAACCTATGAGTCATTTGTAAATTGGGTGTTTTTAATTTTGGGACTGTCTGTATATTTTGAATGTTGCAATTATTCCACCTGTTTTTTTTCCTGCATGCCACATAATTCTTGGTCTTTAAAGTATTATATATTATTTTTTCATTTGCTCCTTCTAGTGTTCTGCAGCGTAGATGATAGGGAAACATGTTCTATCAAACCAGTGTTATCTGTACATCTATAAATAGATTAAAACCTAACGGGTGAGATAAGTAAGATAAACTACAGGAGAAGATCAAATATTTCTGTAGATAGCTATTAACTTGTATGACAGATGAAGAAAAAGAGGGGGAATGGCTTTATTATGTCAAACACAAATTTGGTTGTGCAGAAATCCAGGAAAGCAATCAAACTAGATAAGTGGAGAGCAATCAGTTAAAAATAAACAGAGAAGGAAATACGTAAAAACATTATGGTAGGATTTCAATTCCCAAGTATGGTATTTTATGAGCCTTGCATTTTGAAAACTGTTCTTGCTTTAGGTTATATTTTCTCAGCTGTTTAAGCCACCAAGAGAAGTTATAAAGTGGTGTAAGTGGTCAGTTCTTGAATGGTGTAATTTGCCAATTAATATATGACTATAATTTTATTCTAGGCTACTGGAAGAAGAGTCTGCAAAAAGAGCAGAGCTGGAGAAATGGCACTTAGAGCAGCAACAGACCATTCAGGTGACTGAAGCAGAGAAGCAAGAGCTGGAAAACCAGAGAATTATGAAAGAACGTGCTCTTCAAGTTGCCATGCAACAATTGGAACAACTGGAAGTGGACAGGAAGCAAGCACTTGAACAATACGAGGTGAGCTATTGAAATGTCTGCATGCCTTGGAAATCTGTTGGATGAGGAAAAGTTACAACTAATATCCAGCCATACAGTTAAAATCTTTGCAACAAGTTTGCAATAACTCTGGCAAATCATGTGTGCCATCTTACGATCACTGTGTAGAATAGTGGCATCAACAGGAATTATCTTGTTAGGATTAAATCAAGGATAGCTATGAGATAGTGTGTAGACATAGGGAAAATGGGTTTGAATAGTATTTCTGAGGTCAGCCAGACTTGAGGCTTCATTCAATATCCAGCTATATCACAGCTTTGGGTGGTCAGTGTGTAGTTTGGCAGTTGTGTGGACTTGGCAGCATGCACAAGATTATTCCCTAATGGGTTTTGTGTGCAGTAGAAATACTTCTCTTTCAGTGTTTGCAGAGGTTTATATTTTAAGTGTCAACAGAGATATATTCTGTGTCTGCCAGCAAATGCATGTCATGCCCTGCCTCGGTGAGAAGTGACTTTCTTTTCAGGTCCTCAGATAATCTTGCTTACAAAGTAGAATTTGTAGTCACAGAATGACCTGAAATCCCTGAGTTGTCTATGTGGTGCTGATGTTTAAACTTATTTAATCTTGTTTTAGGAAGTGAAAAAGAAGCTGGAAGTAGCAGCAAACAAGACCAAGAGTTGGAAAGACAAAGTAGCTCACCATGAAGGGTTAATTCGATTGATTGAACCAGGTAGGAAGTAACGTCTTACTTCATGAGTCAGCACAGTGGCTCTTAGTTATTTTTATCCTAGTGTGGTTTCCAAGAAGTCTGAACTTCTATTGAGTCACCCTGGGTTGCACTTCCTGGGAAAGGCCACTGTTTGGAAAGTGTAATTAAAATAAGCACTGAATGCAGACCATACATATGTTGCAAACAATGGTAGCTGAGATTGTGAATGCCTACATGACAGATTTCTCATAAACTATCATGACATAATACAATAGGCTTTGTTTTCATGGCTATTTGTAGCTTTTATGTGATTGTACAATATGCAGAACAATGACAAATACGATGTTTGAGAGAAGAGAGTAAACAGCATGATGTGTATCTATGCTTGAAATTCTGTTTTCTCTTTTATGTGAGTTGAATGCAGGTGGCAACCTAGGAAAATGCTAGTGGCTTAAAAATCTAATTCCTTACTCTGGATAAAAAGTGACCTTCAGAAAACATCACTAAGTTGGCTGACTAATGTTAATTTTCGCAGAAGGCTTTTATAACAGAACAGAGGTGGGCTTGAATCAGTAAGCTGGGAGCCTTTTTGCATGATGTTGCTGCTGTTCCATTTTCCTCCTGCTATAATCCTATTTTTTGCCACCAAAAATATTTAATTTGTCAGCCCAGGTGAAACAAATGTTTTCTTTTTTAAGTACATAGTATGAAAAATCCAAATTCAGGGATCATGTGGGTAAGTTCGGGGTGTGTTGTAGGTGTGGGTATTTTCTTTATGGTATGGAAGGCAGAAGGAAGTGAAGTGGAATTGCTTCACTGGGCAATATGAGCAGGCCATGCTGGTGAATCAAGGAAAAGAATGCTATTTCTGTCCTTCATCCTGACAAAGAAGTATCCAAATGAACAGGAGCTCAAAGTTCATACATTTTAACGTAATGTTCCCAGTTTGCAAGGCCCCTACTTCCAAGCACATGACCTGGGAAAATGCCATGAAGCTAACAAATTCAGTAGAAGTCTTGTCTTTTAGGAGTCAGTTGATCATTACAATCTCTTGGAAGGTAATCATTTCCTAGTTCTTGCTACATAACCCATTCTCCAGCTTCTTGGTGTATTTAGAGAAAAATATTACGAAACCTTCACTGTGTCAGCTTATTCTTTGATGAAATTTCAGGAAACAAAGCAATTTTGGGTTAGCACATGCGAGATCATGTTAGAGTTTCTTTCCAGAAGGTCAAGTTATGCCTTTGCAGGGGATTGCTGTCATTTTCTCAGTCCTATTTTAAAAACCCATTTTACTCTGCCAGCATCAAGGAGGGGTAAATATGTTTGACCTGGAACTGAAAATATAATGCTAGAGTCAAATCCCCTATGATAAGGAGAATATTTCCTGTTTCAGATACTACTGTGGTGTTAACCACGTTTTGGTGACCACACCTCAAAATCCCCACATTCTTCCCAAGTGTAAGCTGCCACCAGGATCTCACATTAGATCTACTTCCTCCATGTTTTATTAAAGGCTATTAATTTTATTACAACTGTAATTTTATAGCTTTTAGGATCTAAATCTGATGGAATACCAGCATAGTGACCAGGGAGTAGATGTGGATACAACTACAGCAATTCCCACTTTTCATCTCCCACATGATCTCTGGATATGAAAACCATCTATCCAGAGTGATCCCATCTTGTCAGGAATCAACCTTGCTTTACTGACCAACATACATTCCACTACCAAATGCAATCTAATTATCTCAATTGATCAAATGGCATATTGAAAAAAGGGCTGGATGTCAGGAGTATTTTGTGGACACTTCACACCAAGCCACTTGGTAGCCCATCTAGTAACTTCTGTACTTAGAAAACAGTGTGTATATGTGTGGTGCCCCCCCTAAATGGAGGGACCTGGAGCAGTGACAGTACATCTGCTTTTATAGTTTCACAGGTCTGTTCCACCCTTTTGGGGTGTCACTCAATCATTATCAGGCTGAATTGTTTAAAATACAATCAGGTGATTGTATTACATCATGGTCCATGCCGTCTGCTCTACACCTTTCCCTCGTCTTGTTCTTATCAGTAGGAACTCTTCATTCCAAACCCGTCACGTACAAGGCTAGTGCTGATGCCAATGATGCAGAGGAGGGTCTGGCAAGCCTCTGGCTTGTCAAGGCCATCTGTGTCTAACAGGGTGAGCTACGGGGTGCTCACACCACCCTATCAAAGAGTTCCCTATACCTGACGACTCAGAAGTTTAGGAAAATCCATAAAGAGAACTCTAGTTGCCTCAGTATTTCCCCAGGCATTTTAAACATGATACGTTATTTAGCATTGATTTATGAAATATATTAATTGGTTGTTATCTTAAAGATAAAGGTGTAGCCTAAACATATTTTGTATCAATCCGTAAATGCTTTTGATGGGATGTGGATGCACCTTCCTGTCTTAAAACCAGATGGCAATTAGAGGTGGATTTGGGCATATGTATTTTAAATGACAATAAGTATTTTTTGTTTTTTGTTTTTACAGGTTCCAAGAATCCTCACATGATCACAAATTGGGGACCAGCGGCTTTCACTGAAGCTGAGCTTGAACAAAGAGAAAAGAGCTGGAAAGGGAAAAGGAATACTTCTGAACAATGAAAACAGCCAGTGTATTTTAGTTGCGGAGGAGAAACTGATTTGTTAAATGAAATCCCCTGGACTCATTTATTATGAACTGTTGAAAGTTCTCATCAACAGATTCAACTGGATGACAAAATATGATGTGTCTACAGCACATTTTTTGTCTAATTTATTTTCAGGCACACATACAGTGAGTGTAAATTACGCCAGAATTGGGGTGAAATGGTAATCAAGATAGCCAGAGATCTGCATTCATTGCTTGGAATAAATTATGGCTATCGAGAAAATGTGCATGTTCTCATTTCAGTTGTGCTTTTTGAAACACAAAGGCTGTTGTGGAACAGAATGAGCATATCTACACACTAATGCTTAGTCTGTTTGTTAGATTTTGGAGTTGTTGTTGCTGGTTGGTACATTCCATAGTCTCATAGAGCAACATAGCAACTTGTTTACTGTGTGGCTGACATTCCATTGGATTCCCTTCTCATAGATATATGGGATGCTGTCTCAGGAAAACAAATGAAGTTGCTGTTTCTGAATCTTTGTTAGTATGAAAAGGATAAAAATTATGAATTGTGTGTGAATAAATAGTACAGGTTGATTATTCCTTATCTGAAATGCTTAAATTCAGAAGTGATCCATGTTTTGGATTTTTACAAATCTTGGAATATTTGCATATATAGAGTCTTGCTTATCCAACATAAACAGGCCAGCAGAACACTGGACAAGTGAAAATGTTGGATAATAAGGAGAGATTAAGAAAAAGCCTATTAAACATCAAGTTACATTATGATTTTACAAATTGAACGCCAAAACATCATGTTTTACAACAAGTTGACAGAAAAAGCAGTTCAATACATGGTAACGTTATATGGTAATTACTGTATTTACTAATTTAGCACTAAAACATTGCAATGTATTGAAACAGCTGTGGATCCGGGTGGGAGGCAGACTGCGTTGAATAATACAGAACATTGGATGAGTGAATGTTGGATAAGCGAGACTCTAATGTATGTATGTATGTATGTATGCGTGTGTGTGTGTGTGTATACACACACACACAAACACACACATATATAATGAGATAGATGGGAACCAAATCTAAACACACATTCATTTATGTTTCGTATATACCTTATACACATAACCTGAAGGTAATTTTATGCACAATTTTTTTAATAATGTGTATGAAACAAAGTCTGTGTACATTGAATCATCAGGAAGCAAAGGTGTCATTATCTCAGCCACCTACGTGGACAGTTTTTGATTTTGGAATATTTCAGATTTCAGAATTCTGGATAAGTGATGCTCAAGCTGTACATTAAACATCCCAAAGGCCAACCTTTGATTACTGATCAATGGAGAAGGTCTATTGGCAAGTAATAAAAATATTTGAAATGTTAAGGAATACAAACATTCTCTTTGACAAGAAAAAAATAGGCTTTGTCAATATTTTGGCAGCTTTTTTCTAGAAAGTCAGGTTTACAGATTCCAGTGTAGGATTCAGTTCTGGGCTTCTGCCGAAAGAACAGTAGAATGTAGATGTGGGTGGGAGGCATCCTCCCATGTGTACCCCACCCCTTTACTTCAGCAATTGCCCCAAAGGGTTTCGGGAACAATTCTTGGGCAGCTCCAAGGGTATTAGGGACAGACCTTCTGCTGTTCTGACATTATAGCACTAGGATTTAGGCCTGCATCTCAACCCTTGTAACATGAACTCTGTGCCTTTAAAATGTTGTTGAATAATTGTTTTTTTAATGGAATAATTACTTTGTGTTTGTGGGGGGAAATCTTTTATGCATTTTTACTGCCTACTCTCTATAAATATTACACTCTGTAAATATTACACCCTTGGGACATGGGTTTTTCCTCATTCTTTACAACAGGGTGGACTGTTTATGTCCCCCAGGGGTCATTTTAGATCTTCATTTTCTAGGAAAAAGAAAAAAGAGAGAGAGAGAGATTTGTCTTGGAAGCATCTAGGAACAGTCACTTGCCTTTTAAATAGGTCACAGGGGCCCCTTCCACTGTTAGCATCAACAATACCCCCCTTCCAACATGTAGCTGGAAGTACATTTCCGTTTTCTCTTTTTAGTAGCGCTTTCAGATTCCCAGAGTCATAAGACTGACTCCCTCGCCAACCATTGTGATTGTTTACCTTACCTTTGGTTTATGCTCCAAAATATGTTTTTCCCAGAAGAATGGGCAGATAATTGTGCAACTGCAGGATAACAGCTAATTCTACTCTTCCTGCCCCCAGATTTCACCTGACCTTTACTCAGTGAGCAAGTGCTCTCTCTGCTTTCTGGAAAATAGTAATATTTCTGGAATTATTTCTCCTCTACTCAAGCCTGAACATTATGAAGTCTTAGACTATCCTTTTCTCTTCCCTTGAGATAGTGCTGTTGATATTTTTATTGCATTTTAAAACATGAGAAGTAAAACAGAAATGTTAACATTGTTTACATAGGACACAAGTTTTGTTGTTATAATAGATCTTGAAAGAAAAAGGAGTACAAAATGGAAATGTATCTGTACTTCCATATATTATTTTGTTGCTCATTTAATGGGCATAAGGATGAGAATTAGTGTTTCCCAGGATTTGCCCATTCTGGACAAGGAATGGTGAAGAACATCTAATATATGTTAAATTTTCTAATAGTCCTATCCATAGAGAACCAATGTGATGTGGTGTTTTGAGCGTTTGACTATGACTCTAGAGACCAGGGGTAATTCCCCACTTAGCTATGGAAACCTACTAGTGGGTGACCCTGGGTGAGTCACATACTTTCAGCCTCAGAAAACCCCATAATAGGGTCACCATAAGTCAGAAATGACTTGAAGGCACACAATGGCAACAACAATTCCTTCTTTTTGCACATTTCAGTCTTTTGCTGAATGAAAAGGTTATGTAGCATGCTCTGAATATCCAAAATTGACATTCTTGGGAGCAAGCACTACTGAACATAGTGATTCTCCTTCTGAGTGAATGTGCATTGGGCATTGGCCATACTGGCTGGCTCGAGGGGAAGGAATGCTCTGGGATTAATCATGCAAAAACTCAACTTTTTAAAGCTCTGATTATACTATGTGGCAATGAAGTACTTTACAAATGTGCCTACTTATTTAACGTTTTAATTAACTGTTCTTCTTTTCCAAACTTGAGTATTTTTCCACAAAGGCCTGAATATTAGTACAGTTAATAACAACTAAACTGTCTTGCAAATACTTATAAAATTAACTTTTGTGGATTTGAATATAGAATACTATAACTGAATTCTCAGTATCTTAATTAAATGGTGCATTCTTGAAAATATGCTGTTTGGTTTGCTCTTGAGCTCATAAAGGTGCACACTGCATTCTCCATTTGATTTGGCTAGTAGGACAAAGTTGTTAATAGTATAGTTCATTAATCCAGGATTATTGTTTTACACTGGCCAACACACATTTTGGTGCCTCAAATGTTAGCCCATTTTGTAGGTATATCTGACGTGCTGAATCCAAAAAAAGACACTGATTTCTCCCAATTGGCTCTAGTTTTTGATATACAGATCATATATCAGTCACATTTCTGCTCGCTCCTAGAAAACCATGATAGCCATATCTAATAAACTAGCACTGATGCAGTCTATCCAATTCAATTTTCTGAATCAGCATCCCAAATAACCTCAGGGTAGCCCAAAAAGCCAAGACATTTTGGGGGGTTGTGTTATTTTAATAAAAGGCCAAGTTGATGATCACAGATTGGAACAAGAAGACTTCTAAATATAATAACATTTCATTTTATGAGTATTTAAACTTTGGGAGTATATGTGAAGCACCAAACCAATTGTTGTAGCTCATTTATACAAAAAGTGGTAGGTTTGTCCCAGCAGCATGGTAGTTGTACAGGCAAAAATTGTGCTACAAATTCCATGTGACACTCCAAAATGATTTTAGGCCTTTAATTTTCTCAGCAAAAGTGTTTCTGAGTGACGTTTTTGGATTTCCCAAGTGTGCACTTTGTGCTGCCCTTAATTCCCTTATGGCTGCCTGGTAACTTTGGAGGCTGAGCATATTTCACTGAGCAAACTGACCTTTGCTTTTTTTCATTTCATTCTGCTTTCCAGCCAGTTCCAACTCCTTTATTTGCCAGGTGCTTGTCAAATCTTTGTGTATAAGAGAATGGTTAAATAAACAAATTAAAAATGTTTTTTAAAATTCCTACTCTTTGGGTTTCCCCTCTATATGTTGTCTCTGGGTGTTGATTTAGGTGGCTTCTGGGTAAAACAAAGGCTCAGTCACTCGATGTGAAGGAACCAAGAGCTTCTGCTCAGGCTCCTGGTATTACCTTACTCTCAGGTTTATTCATCTGCCCCTGATAGCTGCATTCCTTGCTTGAAATTCTTGAAAATTAATAAGCATGGAAACTTGGAGGGTTAATTTGCAAATGTATGAACCTCTGTTGTTTTCTAAAGATGGGACCAACATCTCACACTTTTTATCAGGGCATTAAGAAATAAATCATTCATCCTTTTAAAATAGAGTGCAGATTGCACTAAATAAATCCTATAAGCTTTTTAATTTTTTTTTAAGAAAACCAGTGTTTTTATTACTGCAAAAGTTGGAAAATTTTCTGATTGTTGTATATCATAAATCCCAGTTAACTAATATTTGTAGTCAACTTATTTGGGAGATTTTGAATATGATTTTTGTCATAGTCCTGAATCGTTGTGTTTTATTCACTTCATTTATTCTTGTATTTATTATTTATACATCAAATTTCTGCCAAATTATTTTTAAAAAAACATCCCCTGGTGTTTTCATTTGGATGTAAGTGTCTTGTGCAAAATCCCTTAGGTGTTAATGATCTGTGCAGTGATAATGTTGTCTAAATTGGGATGCTGATTATTTGTGGGCTTTTCAAAGAAACAAATGAAAAACTTCATCTCCATAGTGTTTTTTTTTTTTAGTGTGGGTGGTGTGTGTTTAATTAACTGAAAAACATTTGTTTGTAAAATGGTTTCACAAAGTATTATATGCATGTAAAGAAAATCAATTCCTCACATTTCTAGTTTTGCTGTTCACTGCTGCCAAGACACTCTGTCATCACTCAGGCCTTACAGAATCAGGGCTGTGGCCAAAGTCTCTTTTCTTATTGCCGTCTGCCTTACCAAGCATTATTGTCTTTTCTAGTGAGTCATGTGTTCTCATGATATGTCCAGAATACTATACTCTCGGTTTAGCCATCTTGGCTTCTATGAAGAGTTCAGGCTTAATTTGCTTTAGGATCCATTTATTTGTCAATTTAGCAGCACACGGCACTTGTAGAGCTCTTCTAGAGCACCACATTTCAAATGAACTGTCTTCCCGTCTTCCTGTCTTTCCTTACTGCCCGCTTTCATAACCATACATAGAAAGAGTTTCTAGTTACTGCATATTAAATATTGCTTCTTTTTATGCTCCAACAATACTAGCATTTTTGCATTGGTTATCTTGGTTATATTGATACAGTCCAAACTGTAAGTACACTGTTAAATTTCATTGGGTAAACTTTGATATTTTGCTAACTACCATTGTGTGCTAAAACCTTTTATGGAAGTACTAGTGATTTATGTTTTCAAATGTACTGTTTTGTTTGTACTGTTTTGTTTGTACTGGAAAATCTATTAAAATGAACCTTGTAACTTCCATGTTTGGTTACTCTCATAATTGGGCAGGGTGAGATGGAGATATACTAAATACACGTCTCTAGAGATAGGATTCTGTACGTCAGAGTTGTGTGGATACATGTGACTGGTTCATACCATGACACAAAACTACCATACTGATGGAGAGCAACCGAAGCCTCTGTAATTCATGCGTTAACATTATTATAGCTCTTAATTTATCAACAGTGAACATACTGTGTTGTGTTATGAAGTGACAACATTGTCTGTGCACATTCAGAAGAAGACCTACAAGCCACCCTAAACACCTTCGCAGAAGCATACGAGAAGCTCAGCCTGCCATTGAACATTGAGAAAACCAAAGTGTTCTTCCAGCAGGCACCAGCCAATCCATCTACAATGCCAGAAATACAGCTTAATGGTGTAACAGTAGAAAATGTTGACCATTTCCGCTACCTTGGCAGCCACCTTTCCACAAAACTTAACATTGACACTGAAATACAACACCGCCTGAGCTCTTGAGAGTACAGAGTGTTTGAGGACTGGGACATCCTTAGGGATACCAAGGTGCTTGTTTATAAAGCTATTGTCCTCCCAACCCTGCTATATGCCTGCGAAACATGGACTGTTTAAAGACGTCACATGCAACTCCTGGAACAATTCCATCAGCGTTGCCTCTGAAAAATCCTGCAAATCTCTTGGGAAGACAGGCGGACAAATGTCAGTATGCTGGAAGAAGCAATAAACTCAGCTGGAACAGCCACATTGTCCGACTGCCTGATCACTGTCTCCCAAAGCAGTTACTCTATTCTGAACTCAAAAACAGAAAACAGAATGTTGGAGGACAGGAAAAGAGATTTAAAGATGATTTCAAAGCCAACTTTAAAAACTGTGGCATAGACACCGAGAACTGGGAAGCCCTGGCCCTTGAGCGCTCTAGCTGGAGGTCAGCTGTGACCAGCAGTACTATAGAATTTGAAGAGGCACGAATGGAGGGCGAAAGGGAGAAGCATGCCAAGAGGAAGGCGTGTCAAGCCAACCCCAACCGGGACTGCCTTCCACTTGGAAACCAATGTCCTCACTGCAGGAGAACATGCAGGTCAAGAATAGGGCTCCACATTCACCTATGTACCCACTGCCAGGACACCGTACTCGGAGGACAATCTTACTGGACAACGAGGGATCACCTAAGTAAATATGTTTGACATGAATAAGATATGTACTAGAAGATAACTAGTTTTATTGGGCATTTGCCAGGAGAGGCGAAACTATAACAAGTCTATGGCACACCTATCTCGCAAAAACCACCCCACACCCTCATTCTGTTAAGAGATGGGATTATTATTCCTTTCTAGGCAACACAAAAATTAGCAGTTTTTGATATTTTTATATAGTCACAACTTAGTAGAAGAATGCATATTTTATATATATACCAGTAAGTTCCCAAATATGATCTATGGGACATCTATGTGCAGCAGTTTAAAAGATTTCAGGAACCAGGATGTCTGCCTAAGACTTTGAACAATTGCTGCCATTTGAATTAAGCACCACTAGATCAATAGAACAAAAGCCTGTCTACTTCAAACAGGGTCATATATGTGGTTTAGTGCCCTAATCCACAACTACTTGGCATTGTGAAGTTGTGCTGCTCAAAACTTTTTGTCTGTGGAACATTGCCAGTCCATGAGCCATCAGCCGCTGGTTTCCAGAGAGTTTCCGGGGAAGACTTTCTGCTTTGCTGGGACTTTCCTGCTGGGCTCTTGTTGTCTCCTTGCTCTCAATGGAGTCATTGTGTCAGAGGTGCATCATAGTCACTTCTTGGGGTTGAATAAGTTTTTCATATTAGCAAAGATCACACTAGTCCCAGTTGTATACATTTGTTTCCTACATGCATGCATAAAATTCTACACACAAAGGAGCTGTATGTTTGGTAACAATTACATCAGAACTAAGGGCTTATTAGATTAGCATTTTAAAGTCTGATTCTTGGTGTCTTCTGCCTCCTGAAGAATGCTGGAAAATGTAGTTTGGGAAGGTGAACACCTCTGTAGGTGAGAATTTTAAAAAACCCTCCAACTACATTTCCCACAATTCTGCAGAAGACGCCAAGCATGTGGCACCCTTGTGTGCCAGAGGAACTGGTTGAGTTACAGTAAACACGATAAGAGTGCTGCAGAGTATTTATTCTGCCTTAATTTTTCTCTCCCTTGGCTCATTCCTACTGAGATGAGGAAGCAATAGCAAAAAGGAGAAGGGCAGTGACTTGTCTCTAAGCAACCTTTCCAGCTGTAGGAAACAGCCACAGAAATGAGCAGTGACTTGACCCTTAGCAACATTTTGCAGGCCAGAGCCCATGAATGTCCATGAGAATGGCGGCTGCCTCTTTCTGCTCCTGGTAAATTAGGCGAGAGGAGCGGCTGTCAGGAGTGCTTTGATTGTGCGTTTCCGCCTGGCAGAATGGGCTTGGAATGAATGGCCCCTGTGGCTTCTTCCCAATCTATGATTGTATGATCCCAACTTGCCTCACACTTGCAAGAGGAGGAAGAGAAAGCAACCATCTTGGTTGCTAGGGTACATATGCACTAAAGCAGGCATGGGCAAACGTGAGCCCTCCAGGTGTTTTGGACTTCAACTCCCACAATTCCTAACAACCTGAGGCCCTTTCCTTTTTCCTGCTTAAGCGGCAGAGGGGGAAAAGGAAAGGGCCTGATGCTGTTAGGAATGGTGGAAGTTGAAGTCCAAAACACCTGGAGAGCCTAAGTTTGCCCATGCCTGCACTAAAGAACCTGTTGCTAAGGGCCACGTTCCTGCCCTGTCCCTCATTCCCAAAACTGTTGCTTCATTCCCCTGGCAACACGCCAAGGGCCATTGCCATCTTCTGTCTCCTCTCCTCTTCATTTCTGCTTCTCCGCCCAGCCCAGCTTAGCTTTGTGGACCGTGCCACAGGGAAGCTACAGCGCCTCAGAAGGGTCTGCTTGGCCTGGTGCTGTCGCTCCAGCCCAGTGTTGCACTGCTCTCCAGCCAAGGAGTTGGATAGTCAAGGAGCAGGGCTTGAGAGGGACACAAGACTGAGGAAAACAGTGGTGGTAGCCATTTAGAGAGCAGCCACAGCACCAGAGGTAGGAGGAGGGAGGTCTTGCTTCTCGTATCTGTGGGTGGGTGTTAGGATAGAAATACTTATAAAGTTGTTGGACTTCATTACTTAATAGCATGAAGTAACCAAGCTTTGAAGCTGCAAGGCAATTAAATGCTAATCGGGGGGGGGGGGGTTGCAACATTCTCACTTGCCCCAAACAGATAACAGTTCTTTCTCCCACCGTGGACATTCCACAGATATATAAACCCCACTTGCTTAGTTTCCAACAGACCTCACAACCTCTGAGGATCCCTACCATAGATATGGGTGAAATGTCAGGAGATAATGCTTCTGGAACATGGCCATACAGCTCGGAAAACTTGCAGCAACCCAATAACAGAATGGTTAGGTATGTATTTGGTTTAGGGCACTGATGGTGAACCTTTTTGAGGTCGAGTATCCAAACTGGTGGAGCACTTGGGGGTGGCAAGGTGCCACAGGTTCGCCACCACAGATCTATATTTTGTTTATTTATTTATTTACAGCATATGTAGCCCGCCTTTCTCAGCCTTGTGGCGACTCAAGGCAGCTCACAAAAATAGCAATTCTAGTGCCATAAATTCATAAAAATACAGTTAAAAACATTCAACTCAACCTTAAAAAGCATATCTAAACCATTTAAAACATATAATCACTGATGTCATCCTGTTAAAAATCATTACCCAGCAGCATTGTCCAGTCATTCCATGTTCATTCCTCCTATTTCATAATTTCCTATTCCTATTCTAGGGAAAAGGTGTAAAAATTACCGAGGCACCTGCAAATACAGAAGATTTGGGAAACTTTGGAGTGCCTACCACGACAAATTCATCACTAGTTTGAATTGTGAAAATGTGGTGTTAAAGTGCCCCCTAGTGGTGGTGATCTAAAAAGGTAAACACACAGCAGGAGATAGGAATACATTCAAAAGAGGCAGATTGAGTCATGAGATGAAGTGGACCCAATGCAGTCCAGGTCTACATAATTCCCTAAAGGGCCCCCTGTTTGCCTTTTTTGCCTCAGTAATCTCACCACTGGTACCTCAGAGAGCCCTTTTCTGTTTTCCCACCCTTTTAGAACTTGGAAGCTTCTACAACAGGTATGGGCAAACTTTGGCCCTCCAGGTGTTTTGGACTTCAACTCCCACCATTCCTAACAGCCCCAGGCCCTTTTCTTTTGCCCCCCTCAGCCACTTAAGCGGCTGAGGGGGCAAAAGAAAAGGGCCTGGGGCTGTTAGGAATGGTGGGAGTTGAAGGTCAAAACACCTGGAGGGCCAAAGTTTGCCCATACTTGTTCTACAGGCTGAATATCCCTTGTATAGAATGCCTATGGCCAGAAATATTTTGGATTTCAGATTTTAGAATCCCTGTATTTGCATATACAAACATAATGAGTTGTCTTGGAGATATGACCGAAGTCATTAATGCTTCATATACATCTGATACACATATCCTGAAGGCAATTTAGTAGAAAATATTTAACGCCTTTGTGTATGAAACAAAGATTAAAAATGACTTGCTTCTACAAGAAAGCTGTAGATAAATCAGTTTGCCCTTTAAATAAGTTGCAATGCCACTCTAATGAGTTTAACATAAAAAGGATTCATGTGTGAGAATCAGAAGTGAAGATATAACTATTTCAGCATTTCCCCCATTTTTAATAAAGTAATCCATAGGGTTTCTGGGGGATCCCAGGGTATGATAGTGGCCCCAGATCTGCTGTGCTTGACCACTCTTCCTTTTTGATAATTTTTTACGAAAATCATAAAATTTGTATTACCATGTACACAAATTAAATATTAATAAGCCAGGAAATTCTGAATTGGAAAACAAGGCTACAGCCTTTTAAGAGTTAGGCAAACACCCTAAGCTCTTTAATTTTAGTTTCAATGTCAAAGGTTTTTTTAA